CTGGGCCAGGGCTCCTCTGTGCACCCTGTGACCAGCTTGGTATCCAAACCCCAGCAAATGGAATAGAATCTTTCTTCCCGGGGCCACACCCCTCTCCTCTGCCCTCTCCCCTGGCTCCAGGCAGTATTCAGTTTCCTCCTGGGATACCTCAGTTTTACTCCCCTCATAACTCATCCCACAGTTGTCTAAAATGACATTGTAGGAAAACACGGAAGAGAGACGTCACGGGGTTCCAAGGGCGAGTCGTGAGCATGGTGCAGTCAGGGGTAACTTTTCAGAGAAGGGGAGGTTGGGGTGAGTCAAGGTGGGCACTGGGCTTTGCAGGCAGGATGAGGGAAGGAACCTGGGTGGGCAAAGGCCAGAGGGCTTGAGCCTGCCTGGAGGGAGGTGCAGCCTGGGTGTGCATGTGTGTGTGTGCAGATCAGTAATGAGAAGCCAGGTTGCTAGGCAGCCAGTCCCAGATCTGTAAGTGCCAGTTTGGAGCTGCCTTGAGTGACAGCAGCAAGCCACAGGAGAAGCTAAGTGAGCAGCCATCTCTCTTCCATTCAGCCCCGGGCTGGCTGTGCCACTCTGCACCCACAGCACGGCTACCTTGCTGTGCATAGCTGGGCATCAGAAACACTCTCCACCAACTTGTCTGTCTGTGCCTGCACCAGTGGGACCGACAGCGAGTCCTGACAACTCGATCTCTGAGTTGCTTCTTGGATCCAAGTCCTCCTCCTTGCACCTGTCATGGTCAATGGCCTCCCTGCCTCCAGCCATGCCTGCCCTAATCACTTTCCACTCTGCTCTCTGCTGCCTGGTTGGCTGCCCTCAACACATTCCTCTGTTTACAACCTTTAAGGCGGAAGGAGGGTCTACCACCTTGCACGTGGCGTTTACTACCTCACTGGCCTTCTGGCTTTTCAGTGCAAGGTAAGATTCAGCCCCAGCCCCAGCCAGTCACCACCTCCCCGCCTAACATCTTCCCTAATGCCTCTGTCCACATCCTGGCAACTTTTTCCCTCTTCTTTCTTTTCTGTTCAAAATGTTCTTTATCACCTTGTAAAATCCTATTATCAGCTCAGAAGTCACTTCCTCTCTGCAGTCTTTCCAAGCCTGGCAGGTGGAATTAGTTTCTCCAGCTCAAAGCATCCTTAACCCTCTGCTCATTCTGCTGGCTTCTGCCTTAGCTCCTAGACTGTTTCAGCCAAATGTGCCCCACCTGCCTGATGCATCCCTGGCGTCTGGCACAGGGACAACTTGTAATGGCTGCCTTGGTGGTGGTGGCAGGAAGGAGGGAACCGGCAGCCCACGAAGGGTCCCATCCAATGCACCCATTCTTTCCTGGGTTTCCCAGACACACTCACAGGGGCAGCTCTTGCTCTCGGCCCGGCTTCCAGTTCGCGGTCTTATTCACATTCTGTTGCTGAATTTGACTCACTCCAATTATTCCCATAGTCCCGAAGGGCTGCTGGGGACTTGTAAATTCAGCTTTCTGACTTCTTGTTAAGCACAAGCAGTTTCTCTAGGGGGTGTCTTCTTCCCTATCTAAAGTTTCTTTCTGAAGCTTATTGAATTTCAAAACCGCATTATATTTCCAGCTGGTGTTTTTTGAAGATGGCACATCCTCTACTGGTGCCCGGATGTAGGAAGCCACATGCCTGGACGGTCTGGGGAGAAAGGAGCGCTGGGAACGGTGACCTGCTGCAGTGTGGGAGGGTAGGTGAGGCTCGCAACCAGAGAGTGAGGCTGGCACTCATTGCTGTGAGAACTGGGCAGGCAATTAATTGCTCTGTGCCTATTCCCTTATGTCTAAAATAGTGTAAATATAGTTTCTCACTTCTGTGGTCACTATAGGAATGAATAAGCTAATATGTGTAGTGTGCTCAGTGTCTAACACAGAGGAAGCACTTCCAGTTAGCTGTGTTATTCCTTTCCTTTCTTTCCCTTTCCTTTCCTTTTCCTTCCTTTCTTCCTTCCCTTCCCTCCCTCCCTCCCTTCCTCCCTTCCTTCCTCTTCCCTCCTTCCCTCTCTCCTTCCTTCCTTCCTCCTTTCCTTTCCTTTTCTTTTTCCTTTCTTTTCTTTCCTCCTGGCTGAGGCAGGAGAATCACTTGAATCCAAGAGGTGGAGGTTACAGTGAGTGGAGATCATGCCACTGCACTCCAGCCTGGGCGATAGAGTAAGACTCTTGTCTCAAAAACAACAGCAGCAAAATAGGGTATCATTATGTTTCCCAGGCTGATCTCGAGCGATCCTCTTGCTTCAGCCTCCTAAAGTGCTGGGATTACAGGCATGTGCCAACATGCCTGGCTCATTATTGCCTTTCCTTGTGTAACTGATTTGTAGCATTTCAGAGCTAGACAGGGCTAGAGAGAAGAGTTCAAATCCTTAAGTTCGTAATTGAGGAGACTGACATTCTCAGAGGGGAAGGTTTTTACAAAATCAGAAAGCTGGTGTGGGAGGACTAGACAAGCGTGGGACATGATACATTCTAGGCCAGGGTTCCTTCTTTCTAGATGGTGCTGGTGTTTTGGACATTGGGTGCTCAGAGTTGAACACAGATGGTGGCTGCATGGCCATTGGGAGGTGGGTGGGTGTCAGCTGCAAGGCGTGCTGACCTTGCCAGCACTGGAATTGCACAGCTGCTGCTCTCTGTCCACCTAAGACATCCTCTGTGTGGACCAATTAAAGGTGAATCTGGACCCCAGGGATTCTCTCGGCTCTGCTGTCCATCTTTGTTCTTTTTGGGTGAACATCACCAAACTATTAAGTGAATTCAGGAAAATTTAATCCAGAAGGCTCCTCTGGGAAGGCCAGAAAATGGGAGCTCAGATGAGTTACGTGTCTTACTCAAAGTCACGCAGCTACTGAACCCAGGAATTCTGCCCCTCAGACCCACTGTCCCTTTTCGCCTCTCAGCTTCCCTGGTCATCGGAGTTTGGCACTTGTCACCACATGGGCTGAGCTAACCCTTGCACACTTTGGCCTCTGGGAAGAGGTCAGCCCTGCATCCTTCATGGCAAAGGGCAATACCATCTTCCCTGCGTGTGGTGTCAGTTTGAATTCTTTCTTAAGGGACGGGACAGACGGAGCTGGAAACAATGTCATGGTTCAGGCAAGTGGGCTGTAGTTTTGCAGGCTGCAACCTCAGTGACAAATCAGAGTTTTAGACAGAGGTGGCATCTAGAAGATATCTGGTGTGGGCCAACTCCGTGGTGTGAAAGAAGGAGGAGAAATGGGGAGGCATGAACCCCACCATCATCTGGAGAGATACATCAACAGAGCGACTTCCACACCTGACCAGACGGTGAGGTCCATGCAGCGATATTCTCTGTCCTCTGCTAGGATGGGCTTCAGAGGCTTCTGGGTTATGGCCATGAACATGGTGAGTCCCATGTACATGGTGGTCTATGCCTTTGATTGCAAGCTACTTGCAACCCTTATCAGTCTGGGTAGCTCCTCATGGCTTCAGGTTTGCGTGCATGGCCTTGCCATAGAGGTTCCTGGGTGAGGATAGAGAGCGTTCACTTATTGTGCCATCGAACAGAGTCTCACTCCGTCGCTCAGGCTGGAGTTTAATGGCATGATCTCAGCTCACTGCAACCTCTGCCTCCCAGGTTCAAGCGATTCTTGTGCCTCAGCCTCCTGAGTAACTGGGATTACAGGTGCTTGCCATCATGCCCAGCTAATTTTTTTGTTTTTTTAGTAGAGGAAGAGTTTTGCCATGTTGGCCAGGCTGGCCTCGAACTCCTGACCTCAAGTGATCTGCCCGTCTTGGCCTCCCAAAGTGCTGGGGTTACAGGTGTGAGCCACCATGCCCAGCCTGTTCCCATTTTATTTCTAGATTCTTACTATTAATTGTTTTTAGAGATAAGGTCTCACTCTATCACCTGGAGCCTCTACCTCCTGGGCTCAAGTGATCCTCCTGCCTCAGTCTTCTGAGTACAGGTATGTACCATCATGTCTGGCTAATTTTTAACTTTTTTGCAGAGATGGGGATCTTACTAAGTTGCCCAGGCCAGTCTCAAACTCCTGGCCTCGAGCAATCCTCCTGCCATGGCCTCCCAAAGCTTTCAGATTACTGGTATGAGCCACACCATGCCTGGCTTCTTCCCATTTTATGAGGAAATTAAGAATAGGGAAATGACGGTGCTGGCTCACTGACCCCCAGAGGACAAGAATCCAGATGTCCTGGATCTCAGTTCAGAAGCTTTTCAATTGCAAAGCTTTCTCTTCCAGTGTTAAGTCCTCCAATCTTGCCTTCCTTAAATACATCTTAACAGTGAGACTGTTCTTTGGGGTGCAGTCTTAAGTCTATACAATGACCTAAAAGGTTTGCCCTGCTCCTGGTCAACCCACAGCTCACTCACCCACCAGCCACACTGAACTAGTAGCACAACAGGTCCCCAACCTTTCTGGCTCCCGAGACTGGTTTCATGGGAGACAGTTTTTCCACAGATGGGGTTTGGGGATGATTCAAGCACATTACATTTATTGTGCACTTTATTTCTATTATTATGACATTGCAATATATGAAGTAATTCTACAAGTCGCCATCACGTAGAATCAGTGGGAGCCCTGAGCTTGTTTTCCTGCAACTAGACGGTCCCATCTGGGGGTGATGGGAGACAGTGACAGATCATCAGGCATTAGGTTCTCACAAGGAGCGCCAACCTAGATCCCGCGCATGCACAGTTCACAGTAGGGTTTGTGCTCCTATGAGAATCTGATGCTGCCACTGAACTGCCAGGAGGCGGAGCTCAGGTGGTAACTGAAGCAATGAGGAGCAGCTGTAAATGCAGAGGAAGCTTCACTCACTTGCCTCCCACTCACCTCCTGCTGTGTGGCCCAGTTCTTAACAGGCCAGGAGCAGGTCCATGGCTTGGGGGTTGGAGACCCCTGTAGTAACACATTCTCATCTTCCCCTGACTCTTCTGCTTTCAGCCCTTTACACATCGTGCTTCCTCTGTGAGGAATCCTTATCTCTACTGTCTGGCTAACTTGCATTCTTCCTCCAGGCATCAGCTGGATTCAGCCTTTCCTCCTGGAAGCCGCCGTCTCTGAATTCCTGAGGTTGTTCAGGTAGTCGCCCCTCCTGCAGAGGTTCTGTTGGAGTGAGAACCAGTGTCCCTGGGTCTCCCCCACAACAAGATGATGTTCACAGGAACAACAAGGAAGAACCCAACAGCTATGCCAGTCCCTTGAGCTGAATCAGGTATGTTATGGGATAGAAGGCAGGAAGGAGGGGCCGTGTCCCCTCCTTGGGATTTTTGCTGGATGGCAGATGAGGTGGAGGGAGGTTGTTTCTTGAAGAACTGGAGCATCTACAGCACAGTGCTCCAGCTTCCTCATTCCACCAAGCTCACGGTCACAGCTGGACATGTTCAGACACCCTTAAGTAATGTCTTTAAAGGCTCTGTGCACTTTAAAGTGGTGTTTTATTTAATTTCAACAAAGTTGTAGTTGCAATTAGATCTGTCCAGATAATTAACTCCAATTTACTAGTTTGCAACTAGTAATTAATTACTAAAGTCTCCCGAGTGAGCCTTGGCAAGGAGAGTCGCTCCTCTGAGAACAGAGGCTTTATTCTAAAGGCTCAGAAACATGGCCACCTTTGGGAACTTTTTTCCCCCTGGAATTCATTATGGCTCGGCTCTTACACAACGTTGTTGGTGACTTTGGGAAAGTATCTTAACCTGTCTCTCGGGAGAAGGGAGAGGTTCTTCACTTAGCTCATAAGAACCAATCATTAGGAGAAACGCGATTTCCGAGTTGGAATGCAACTCCTTCTCTTTCTGTAAACTGCTTAGTTGCTCCTGGGCAAGGGTGAAGAGTGTTTACCTGCTGTCCCACTGAGCAGCCCCTGGGTCTGGAGCTGGTGCCTAGGTCACCATTTTCTTATGGACCCTTTGAGAGGAGTCCAGGAAGAGTCAGGACCACGCTTCAAGGTCGTGGGTGTCTAGTGTTACCCAACTGTACATTGTTTTGTGGATTTTTAGATTTCCCAATGCAACCACGAAGTGTCAATATTCCCCTAAAGCCACCCTCAGAGATACTGGCACATTTTCAGTTTCAAAAGTCTACATCTACTTGCAATTTTGCTTCACACTTGAGGACTCATTATTTTTCTTTGATGTAGATTGGTAAATCCCAACCTTGAAAGCATATTCAAATAAGCTACTACCGCCATGAATGTTTTGAGAGATACTGATTGCCACTGTAATGGAGTGGGGAAAAGGTTGGTGTTTTCAATAACCAGGTCAACTGGATATCTTTATGAAAAAAAAATGAATCTTGACCTGTGCCTCACCCAATATCCCAAATCAATTCCAGTTAGACCCTGCATTTAAATAAGAAAGGAGAAGCACATGGCTTCCAGAAGGTAATATATACCAATTATTATAAAGGCAATTATGACCTTATAGTCAGAAAAATTGTTGGACCCCCAACAATTTCAGCACTTACTCTGAAAAATAGGATGGATAAATTGGAGTTCACTAAAATGAAGACATTCTGCTCATCGAGAGACATGAATTAAGGAAATGAAAAGGCAAAGCACAGGACAGAGGAAGATGCATGCATGCTTAAATCCCAGAGGACTCTTACAGCAAGTTCTTAAAGAACTACAGACCTAAACAAAAATGCTGATGCTCCAATTTAAAACCTGGGCAAGGCCGGGCGCTGTGGCTCACACCTATAATCCTGGCATTTTGGGAGGCCGAGGAGGGCAGATCCCCTGAGGCCAGGAGTTTGAGACCAGCCATGGGCAACATGGTGAAACCCTGTCTCTACTAAAGCTAAAAAATTAGCTTGGTGTGGTGGTGCATGCCTGTAATCCCAGCTACCTGGGAGGCTGAGGCAGGTGAATGGCTGGAACTTGGGAGGCGGAGGCTGTAGTGAGCAGAGATCATTACACTGCACCCCAGCCTGGCACTGGGCGACAGAGTGAGACTCTGTCTCAAAAAAAAGAAAAAAAATTGGGCAAAAGAGTGTATCTAAATGCCATAAGCATATTAGAAAGTATTCAACACCATGAATCATCAAGATCAAACCCAAAATGTGGTACCGCTATATGCCAACATTTGTCGATAAGGATGTAGAATCCCTAGAGTGTCAGACACTGCTGGTGGGAAAGTAACGTGTTAGACTCCCTTGGAAAATGATTTCCATTCTATTAAAGATGAACCAATGTAGAAGCCATGAGCCAGGAATTCTAGTCCCGTGTGTGTGTGTGTGTGAATGTATGTATGTATATATATATAATGAGTAGAATTTCCTTGGAGATACATATATCTCCAAGAGAAATGCATCTATGTGAGCACAAACAACACGCACAGAAATGTTCATAGCAGCATTATTGATGTAGCCCCAAACTGTAAACAATTCCATAATTCATCATCATCAGGAGAACGGAGGAGTTGTGGTACAGAGACTGCAATGCTATCTTAGCAATAATTGCTATTCACGATGACTTGGGATGAGTATCACAGACCCATGCTAAGCAAAAGAGATCAGACAAAAAAAGTAAGATAATACGGCATGATTGCGTTTATACAACGTTGGACAGCAGGTGGTTTTAGGGTGATAGAAGTCAGTCATGGTTACCTTAGGGATGGGGACTAAGGATGGAGAAAATGCAGGAGGGAAGCCTTGGGAAGAATGGTGGTGGTCTGTATCTTGTTTTGGGCAGCAGTGCCTTGATGGGTATTTTTACTTTCTAAAACTCCCGATTGAGCAGCACATTGAAGATTTGTGTAATTTATTGCATTATACTATTCTTTAACAGAGAAATTTACTAGAAAGTCCAAAATGGGCCAGGCATGGTGGCTCACACCTGTAATCCCAGCATTTTGGGACGGCAAGGCAGGCAGATTGCTTGAACTCAGGAGTTTGAGATTAGCCTAGGCAACATGATGAGACCCTGTCTCTACCAAAAAAAAAAATAATAATAATACAAGAAAACAGCTGGGTGTGGTGGTACAGGTCTGTCATCCCAGCTATAGGAGGCTGAGTGGGAGGATTGCTTGAGCCCAGGGGCTGAAGTTGCAGTGAGCTGAGATTGCACCACCACATGCCAGCTTGGGTAAACAGTGAGACCCTGTGTCAAATATATATGAACTCCATCATTAGGAGTTCAGTTAGTCTAAGCCTCACCTTAGACTAACTGAGTGACAATGAGGCTTGAGTGAAGGTACCTTGCTGCCTTCCCTGGTGAGTCTTCTCTGTGTCCAGAAGCAAGAATCACTGGCCTAGACTGAAAGCCAGTGTTTCTCATGGAGTCACTGCTCATTCCTTTGCCCCATGTGCAAGGTTTGGGAGGCTTGTTCAGTGACTGGACCCAGAAGGGCATCATGGATTTGGATGTGCTGATCTAACATTTGGGAAATCCAGGCTTTGATCTGGTGGTTCTTTAACATGAGCAGTGCTATGACTGGTGCCTATCCGCCTGCTTCACCCTTTAGACAATGAATGAATGGATCTTTGTTTTTCCTTCAACTTTCGTTTCAACTTCTGGGACACATATGCAGATGTGCAGGTTTGTTACATAGGTAAACGTATGCCATGGTGGTTTGCTGCGGAGATCAACCCATCACCTTGGTATTTAGCCCAGCACCCGTTAATTAGCTAGTCTTCCTGAAGCTCTCCCTCCCCATCCCCAACAGGCTCCAGTGTGTGCTGTTTCCTCACAATGTACCCATGTGTTTTCCTTGTTCACCTCCCAGTTGTAACTGAGAACGTGCGGTGTTCAGTTTTCTGTTCCTGCATTAGTTTGCTGAGGATAATGGCTTCCAGCTCCATCCATGTCCCTGCAAACAGCGTAATCTTGTTCCTTTTTATGGCTGCATAGTATTCCATGGTGTAATGTACCACATTTTCTTTATCCAGTCTATCGTTGACGGGCATTTGAGTTGATTCTGTGTCTTTGCTATTGTGAACAGTGCTGCAGTGAATATACGCGTGCATGTGTCTTTGTAACAATGATTTATATTCCCTTGGATGTATTCCCAGTAATGGGATTGCTGAGCCAAATGGTATTTCTGCCTCTAGATCTTCAAGAATCACCATGTTGTCTTCCACAATGGTTAAGTGAATTTACGTTCCCATCAACAGCGTAAGAGCGTTCCTTTTTCTTTGCAACCTCACCAGCATCTGTTGTTTCTGGACTTTTAAATAATCGCCATGTTGACTGGCTTGAGATTGTGTCTCCTCGTGGTTTTGATTTGCATTTCTCTAACGATCAGTGATGTCGAGCTTTTGTTTCGTATGTTTTTTGGCCACATGAATGTCGTCTTCTGCAAAATGTCTAGACTTACTCATTCTCAGTATCTTGCCTAAGGTCATCCAGCAGGGCTGGGATTTGGATCTAGGCTCCTGACTTTTCTGAACCAAAGAATGATAGATCCAAAGCTTTAAACAAGGGGAGAAATTAAAAATACTTGAATAGATCATTGATAGCAGGGAAATAATAGATGAGAAAAAGAGTAAACCTGCTTTTCTGACTCATACTTGATGCAAGATCTTCATTTGTGGAGGTGGAAAAAAGGGATTTTGAATGTATATTATAATCATTATTGCATTTTTTGTTTCTCACCTCAAGTAGGGTCTCAGATCAAGCCTGTCTCCTAACAAGTATACACTGGGGCTGTGTTTTATCTTGCTCTGGCGCTCTCTACCACTGCTCTTGATCTACCGCCCTGTAGGAGAACTCCAGACTGGGGAATCTTCCTCAGAACGATGTTATGAGTTGAGATTAGTTAGGCAAGTGGCAGAATGAATACATAAGCAGTGATTTTGCATAATGAGGCGTGTGAAATCCCACTGGAGGTTGTTAAAACAGCAGACAGACTGCGGTAAACAAGGAAGAAGGTAGGCTTTGAAAACAGATGGCTTTGAAAACCTGGCAAAGCCCCGTTTCAGACTTTTAAAAATTGGTTTTGGGAGCGCAAGCTATTTTTTTTTTAATCTACATGCATATTTTAAAGTTCTGTTTTAATGATAAACTTCCGTGGGCAATTGAACATCAGTTTACGTCCTGCTGTAAACACGCTTATAGCCAGATGTGATGGACAGCTTGCATAGAGATCCGAGCTGTTCTGGCATATTTGGATTCAGAGACATTATTTGTATTTTGGTTTGGGGAAGCATCTCTGACATCCATGCTGGGTAGGTATATGGTGGTGGCCTGTCCCTTGTCACTTGCAAGAGACCACCTAAAAGAGATCACCTCCAGGCCAGTAGCGGAGCTGCTGAAGACCCTCTTCCTTATCTCTCCTTATTTCCAGGAGATGGCCTGCCCCTCAACTTCCTCTCCTCGCTTCATCTCCATCACACATGATCTTATTCCCCTTATCTCTCAAAACATGTCTAGCCACTTCAGAACAAGGCATTGTTTCTGAAGTCCACTCTCTTAATGCAGGCTGAACTTTTTATTGGAATGCTTTTCTGTTGATAGATCCCAAATCAGTCGCCTATCAGCGTCCCCATTTCTAAGCAATTTGACAGAGGATGGATGGGCCTCTCCCAGTCTGTGCTGATAGAATTATCTACCTCTGAATTCAAGGCAGCCTCACTGACTTTTGTGTATTGATTTCTGTATGATGTAGACATTATTTTTTGGCCATGTTCAGGTGAACTCCACTTAACCAATCCACCAGGTTAAAAATGCTTTCCTTGGGTGGGCGTGGTGGCTGGTGCCTGTAATCCCACCTCTTTGGGAGGCTGAGGTGGGAGAACTGCTTGAGCCCAGGAGGTTCCAGGTTGTAGTAAGCCATGATCACACCACTGCACTCCAGCTTGGGAGACAGTGAGACCCTGTCCCAGATAGATAGATAGATAGATAGATAGATAGATAGAGAGAGAGATAGATAGATAGATAGATAATTTAAAAATAAAGAAAAATAAAAATGCTTTCTTTCTTTTTTTTTTTGAGACGGAGTTTTGCTCTTGTTACCCAGGCTGGAGTGCAATGGTGTGATCTCGGCTCACTGCAACCTCCGCCTCCTGGGTTCAGGCAATTCTCCTACCTCAGCCTCCTGAGTAGCTGGGACTACAGGCATGTGCCACCATGCCCAGCTAATTTTCGTATTTTTGGTAGAGACGGGGTTTCACCATGTTGACCAGGATGGTCTCGATCTCTTGACCTTGTGATCCGCCCACCTCGGCCTCCCAAAGTGCTGGGATTATAGGCATGAGCCACCACGCCTGGCCAAAAATGCTTTCTTCTTAATAATCACAGGCCTCCACAGTCTACGTCTTCTTTCCCTGATCACACTGCAGGTGCCTTTGGAGAGCTTTGAGACTCTCTTGGCTGTCTTCAGTGCTCCCATACTAAATAGTACATCCAGTGGCTAATGAGAATCAAGATTTATTCCTCTCTGAATGGGTGGCAGAAGATTTGAATGAATGGATTAATCTGATGTGGGGACAGGGCACCTAGGAGGCTTGGCCACTGTCAGATAAGTAAGACCAGAATGAGAATGGAGTCTTGATCTTCCATAGCACGCAGCTGTCACTCAACACCTGCTCTCTGGATACTGTTGTAGGCTTCTGCCTTGAGGTGTTTGGGTCCCTGGGTTTGTGGCCTGGCTTCCCATTCCATGTGCCTTTAGCTTTCAAACTCTGAAGGCAGGGCCAGATCTACACTGATCTGTGATGAGCATTTGGGAAGTGTTCTCAGCCGTACCTACCCCCTGGATTCAAGAGATAATGCACCCTGGGTGCTAACTGGCACCCTGGGATAAGGACATCCTTCCAAGTCCAAAATGTATGCTCCAGTTTCCCAGCCAAGTTAATACAAGATGTTCTTGCTATAGTCATCTTTTAATGGGACCCTAGAATCTCAACCCAAACTCCTGCAAAGAAACCCTGGAGACCTTTTGTCTGGGGATTGCCTCCAACAGAACCATAGATCTCAATCATAAAAGCCTAGGCCAGCTTTCCCATTCAATAGAGATATTATAAGTTTCAGTGTCTGGCGTCATACTTTATCCTTGGAAGGAGACTCAGATCAGCTTGCTTTCAATAAATAGATTTTAGAACAAAACGCTTCTGTGTAATTATGTTTACTAATAGTATTAACTCATTGCCCATGGGCAAAACACAAAAATCCTTCCATTGCAACAAAGAAAACCTGGTGAGCTGAACTTCTGGGCAAACTAATGCCTGGGGTGGGTAAACCCTGGGAAAATGGGGGCCCTCCAGAGGGTGCTTTGGGGAAAGATCTCTGTGATACTCTCCATTTTGGATGTCCCAGAATTCTTTTTTTTTTTTTTTTTTTTTGAGACAGAGTCTCACTCTGTCACCCAAGCTGGAGTGCAGTGGCACAATGTTGGCTCAGTGCAACCTCCACATCCTGGGTTCAAGCAGTTCTCCTGCCTCAGCCTCCTGAGTAGCTGGGACTACAGGCACATGCCACCATACCAGGCTAATTTTTTTTTTTTTTTGGTGGTGGTGAGAGACAGGGTTTTGCAATGTTGGCCAGGCTGGTCTTGAACTCTCGACCTCAGGTGGTCTGCCTGCCTCAGCCTCCCAAAGTGCTGGGATTATAGGCCTGAGCCACCGCGCCTGGCCCAGAATTCTATCATTACACTTTTCTGATATATATATTTGTATGTCTGCTGCACTTGTCCTGGCACCATTCTGACTGGTCCAGTGTTTGTTCTGGTGGGTGATATTCTGAATATTCTCCCAGGTTCTAGCCTTTGTAGTAAATTTTACTTTAGACATTGCCCTTGCATAAATCACTCAAAACATTTTATCTTCCAAAAATTGCGCATTGACCTTAAGATTCCATTCAAGTGTGTTTTGAAGACCTGCATTATGGAGTTAAGGACAAGACCCTAGTTGCAGCTCATACTCATGTTCTCTGTTCTTCTTGGGTAGAATCTCTGCATCCCCCCATTCACGGTCTAGTTCAAGCTCCCCAGACTTTTCGAAGCTGCTTCTAACTTCAATAACCTCACGAGCACCCTCTGCCTCTCTTCCGCAGTGTTTGCAGTGATTCTAGAATGTCCTTCTCTCCCTCTAAGCTCACTGAGGACAAGGTTCCATTTCTCCATGTCCCACCAAGCTAGACCCATCCTCAGTGACCCATAATTACTGGAGGATTGACTTATTTCAGAGAGAGCAAAAAAAAACCTGACAGGAAGGTTTGCTGGGGGTGTTTTTGTGTGTGTGTGTGTGTGTGTGTGTGTTATTTATTTTTATGATTTTAAACTTTATTTTAGAGACAGGGTCTCTGTCACCCAGGCTGGTGTACAATGGTGCAATCCTAGCCCACTGTGGCCTCAAACTCTTGGGCTCAAGTGATCCTCCTACCTCAGCCTCCTGGGTAGCTGGGACTACAGGTGCACAGCACCATGCCTGGCTAACTAAAAACAACTTTTTATTTTAATGGAGATGGGATCTTGCTGTGTTGTCCAGGCTAGCATAGGGATGTTTATTTTCAGGGTTGCACTGGTGGTGTAGACAACATGGTCTCTCCATGGACTGTCTTATTTGTTTTTGTTTTTCTTTTCACGTGAGGCATCACCTAAGGGAGAAATCCTCCTACTCTTGTTTGTAGACTCCCAGTCCTGAGCTGCTCATCATTGCCTTCACTTTCCACTCTTTCTTCTATTCACCTGACTACTACTACTACTACTACTACTACTTATTATTATTATTATTACTATTATTATTATTTTGGAGATGGAGTCTCACTCTGTTGCCCAGGCTGGAGTGCAATGGTGCGGTCTCAGCTCACTGCAACCTCTGCTTCCTTAGGCCCAGTTCTAACCGTACCATGGAATTTTACCCATTGGATAGTTTCTCCCTCAAGATTATATGATCCTTACGTTTTGGGCTCATAGCAGGGTTATGAGACCTAGTTCAGTGACTATTTCTTGAGCTCAACAGCTCAAAGATCCATTAAGTCAGCTTGAGGCAGAGGGGTTGAGAGGTGCCTTGTGAGCAGAGAACAGAGCTCAGAACAGCAGAACAACCATGCCCCCAGAGACTGTTCTGGGCAGTCTACAGATCTTTTCACTATGGTCCTGAAGATCCTGGAGGCCTCCCCACACCTGGCTGCAAAGATCGCCATTTGGGGTATGTGTGAGCCCTGCATGGCCGTAGATTTTTATTTTTATTTTTTCTATCTCTGGGGTTAATGGATCCATTTCCTGTAAACGGAGCTGAGTGTCCAATACACACCAGGGAGAGAAAGAGCCCGGGGGGAGAGAGGGGAAGGATAGACGGTTTGAGTTGGTTACACAGCCGACAGCTGCACGGACTTAATTGGGTTTTATTCTATTTGATCTTGGATAAAGAGGATTTTTGAGAGTCCATTTTCTCCTTCTTAAGTGTTCTCGCTAAAAAAAAAAAAATTTAAAAATAAGATAAAAATCCTGGGGTAGGCTGGGTTTCTGGATGCCTGCTAGCCCTGCTGACTGCACAGGGGGGCAGTAGCACACCACCAACCTGCTTGGGAGCACCCGAGGGAGCTGGTGGATAAATCCGGAGCCTTCACCGGGAATTTTAACTCTCATTAGCTGTTTTCCATTTCATCGCTATCGGTGAGAAATATCACTTAAGACAAAGTTGGAAATAAATTAAGCTGGGAACCACATCAAGAGGTTTATATTTGCTTTCTCGCCACCATCTGTGAATTTTTATCCTCTGTGTATTTCCAGACTGGACCACAGACCCCCAGTTTGCATCTGATGGTGCCATCTAGGGTGGTTCCCATGAACTCGAGGGTGTTCTCAGGAATTCCAGGTCAAGATGGAAAATCTCTATGTGTCAGCTGGTAGTTGGTGAATGCCTAGGCTGTTCCAGGCACTGTGCCATGGGCGGTCATCTAGGTGACTTGGTTTTAACACTAGAGGTTTCATGTGTTATCCCTATACACCAGAAGAAGGACAAGGTTCACACATCAAGCAGATTGCCCAAGGTCACACAGTTCAAGGGCGTAAAGGCACTTTCGTGTCTCTTCTGGAAAAGCAGAAAAGGTGCTGCTTGTCTAGTTCACTAATGTATTTTGTTTGTTTTTTTCTAGATGGAGCCTGTCTCTGTTACTCAGGCTGGAGTGCAATGGCACAATCTCAGCTCACTGCAACCTCCACCCCCAGGTTCAAGTGATTTTTCTACCTCAGCCTCCTGAGTAGCTGGGATTACAGGTACCCACCACCATGCCCGGCTAATTTTTGTATTTTTAGTAGAGATGGGATTTTGCCATGTTGGGCAGGCTGATCTCAAGTGATCCTCCCGCTTTGGCCTCCCAAAATGCTGGGATTACAGGTGTGAGCCACCGCACCCGGCCACTAATGTATTCTTAATGCTCAGGGCAGTGCTGTGTTGAGTAAGATGACTGAAGAACATGTTGACTCCCAGCATGGTTTTCTTTGCACCGTACTTTAAGGAGGTTTGGAGGCTGGCGATCCTTCCAGTGTTCCCGTTGATGCTCATTTGCTGTAACAGCCCTTGGATTCCAGTGGAAATCTCCTTCCCCTCAGGATCCTCATCCTGCACATTCACCCTCCAGAATCAGAAGGCTGGGGAGAGGGATCAGCACATCTTAGAGTGTGATTCCTTGCTGAACAAATTCACCGTGAGGCAAAAGAAAGACATCTGGACAATGGGCCTGGAGAATGGTGGATTTCATCCAAAGTCAATGGCGTGGAACTGGGAGGTAAGGAGCTGTTGCTTGTGTTTTGGTTCTAGTTATTCCAAACCAAGGAAACACTCGGGGATGGGCAAAAGGGGCATATAACCCAAGGGGGGATTCCTGTGTGAGGCAGAGATCCAGATAGGGGAGAGAGGATCACTGAAGGGCAAATGTCCTATGTGGGAACAGGGGCTTCCAATGGCCACCAGTTTATACATATGGCTCCACCTTGCCTGCCTCTGTGCTGTGCCCTGGGATAAGAAACCTCAGCAAAGGAAAATGGGCTATAAGGTTGTTAGGTTGTCTAGAGAGTGGCAGGGATCTGAAGGGCTGGGAGGCTTGTTGGTTTCCACGCTGGAGTGAGACAGGAGCTCTCAGAGCTCAGAAGTGTCTAAGCACAGCTTAGAATGGGAAGAATGCGTGTTGAAGCCAGGAACTAAAAGACTTCTGTGCACTGGAAAAGGTTGTAAATTCCACATGGCAGTTGTTCCCATCTCCTGAGAGCCGCCCTGCAGAAAAAGGCACTGTAACAGAGCATGAGTGAGTGTGCTTGTCTTCGTGGAGCTGGGCGAACTGTGTCCCCTCCATAGACAGGCCTGGGAAGGATAGATCCCAGCGGAGGAGACAGTGATGGAACACGACAGGTGGCTAGAGCCAGGATCAAGAAGAAGGGGAATGACTCCTTGGTCCCTTCAGCAGAAAGAGAGAGGGCTCAATTCTCCAGCCTAAGTTGGAGAATGGGCTGTCCAGAGTTCCTAGAATCCCCTACGTGTGTGTGGTGGGTCCAGTCCTAAGGTGGGCTCAGAGGTATCTGGGTGTCTACCATCATCCATCATTAGACAAGGCTGGAGGTTTATAAAGCAGCGTGTTTCTGGGTTCCTTGGTGGGTACAGCCAGGCTGGTTTCTCTGTTTGCAACAAGAAAGACACTCATTTAATAGTCTTCAAAGGCCAGCGCAGTGGCTCAAGCCTGTAATCCCAGCAGTTTGGGAGGCCGAGGCGGGTAGATCCCGAGGTCAAGAGATCGAGACCATCCTGGTCAACATGGTGAAACCCTGTCTCTACTAAAAATACAATAAAAATTAGCTGGGTATAGCTGCCTGTAATCCCAGCTACTCGGGAGGCTGAGGCAGGAGAATTGCCTGAACCCAGGAGGCGGAGATTGCAGTGAGCTGAGATCGCGCCATTGCACTCCAGCCTGGGTAACAAGTGTGAAACTCCATCTCAAAACGAAGTCCTCAAAGTAGATTGTGGAGGAGATATTGTTAAGACTGTGAGAGCCAGCCCTGGTCCCAGAACAGAGTGGGAGATGTCTACAGCTTCCATCTTTCTGATCCTTTTTTGTTGCTGCAGGCTGTGTCAACTCACAGTTCCTGCTCCCCAGGACTGGTTGCACGTGACATCTGGTCTGCCAGCACTCTTGTTTCTGCGTCATCCCATCCTTTTGCTTTTCCTCCAAGTGCTTATTGATGTAGGCTCTCTGTGATCCTCAGAGTGAGCGCCTTACCTCCCCTTTCTCTATCCGGCCCCACTGGAGGATATTTGAACTGGTGACCCTTGGTGGAGTGCCATGTCTGATCTCATCAGCCATATAGAAAGGACGGAGGGCTATTTCATGCTTCTGCCTCAGTTTGAACACCAGGCTCTTCTCTGTTGCTACAGGGTGTGTAGACTCATAATTCCTGCCCACACACTTGCACTGCATGCAATTCCTGCTCTTTGTGTGTAGTATGGCGGCCCAGGCCTTCTGCAGAAGACGGTCACAAACATCTCATGGCCAGGCTAAGAATATTCTTCTGATATGACTGTGGGTAATTTGACATTTATGAATCTGGAATATGACATCGTTGTGAAGATTTTGTCTGGAAATATGATACAAAGAGACAAGGCAGGGTTCAGGCTTCCACCCAGTTTTCATCTGGAACAGAAAGTATACAAATCAGGCACCAGATGCCAAGCAGGACTTCTCCAGAAATAGACGATTGTTCGTTACAGACCGACAATGCTGCCCATCTTACCGAGGGCGTCTCCAGACACATGGCTGCCCAGTCTTCAGACCTTGGACTCAACCCCCGCTTATCCTATTCCCTCATTCCCCATAAACGCTGGTGATTCCAGGTTTTGATAATTCCACAGCAGTGGTTAATTTTATGCATCAACTTGACTGGGTCATGGTGTTCCCAGATACTTCATCAAACATTATGCTGGGTGTGACTGTGAGAGTATGTTTGGATGGGATTAACATTTAAATTGGGTAGCCCCCAGTCAGTCAGTTGAAGGTCTAAGTAAGACCAAAAGGCTGACCCTCCCATGAATAAGAGGAAACTCCTGCTGCCTGACTGCTTGAGCTCGTACATCAGTCTTTTCTTGCTTTAGGACGTAAATGAAAACGTCAGTTCATCTGGGGTCTTGAGCTTGCCAGATTTTGGACTGGCACTTACACCATCAGGTCTCTTTCTTTTCCAGCTTGCTGACCACAGATCCTGGTACTTCTCAGCCTCTGTAGCAAAGTGAGCTGACTCCTTACCGTAAATCTCTTTATATCTGTAGCTATCTCTCCATGTCTGTCTCCTGATTCTGTTTCTTTAGAGAACTTTGAGGAATACATCCATTCTCAAAATGCTTCTTGAATCTGTGTTCTTTCCCATCGCCAGAGCCAATCCACTGTCCTCATTTCAGCCAAGTTGCCTTGACTAAAATGGGAGTGAAAAATTCAACTCTCCATGTGCTGTTCTCCCTGCCACCCCATGCTCTCTGAAGTGACGGGGGGGGCTTTGCTGTCACGGAACATGGGTTGAAGCTACTGGCCTTATAGGTCAAGACCAGTTCTGTAGCTTGGTGTTCAAGCCAAGCAGGAATTGGCCCCTGAAGGCCTCTCCTGCACATCGTCTGCTATACATATTCTTTTTTTTTGAGACAGAGTTTTGCTCTTGTTACCCAGCCTGGAGTGCAATGGCGCAATCTCGGCTCACCACAACCTCCGCCTCCTGGGTTCAGGCAATTCTCCTGCCTCAGCCTCCTGAGTAGCTGGGATTACAGGCATGTGCCACCATGCCCAGCTAATTTTTTGTATTTTTAGTAGAGACGGGGTTTCACCATGTTGACCAGGATGGTCTCGATCTCTTGACCTCGTGATCCACCCACCTTGTCCTCCCAAAGTGCTGGGATTAAGGCGTGAGCCACCGCGCCTGGCCCTGCTGTGCATATTCCTTTGTTGGGGAGACAGATATTCTTTTTGCTCGAGATGCCATGTTCTCGTCTCTTGCACACATTATGTCTTCTTCCTGGACAGTCCTCCTAAGTCCACAGCATGCTGCACCCAGCAAACTCTTTCCCGTCGTTCAAAATGAGCTCAAATCTAACCTTGCTTGTGAAACCCATCCTGACTGCATGTGGAGCTTATCAGCCCCCTCCTTTGTCTCCCATGCCACTTATCCCATTGTATTGTCATCATTTATTTTTTTCTTTCATCTTTCTCCCTCTTCCACAAGATCCAGGAAGGCCAGAGTTCAACTTCCCCAGTGCCTAGACGAGTTCCTGCAAGCACACACTTCAATTTGTGGAACGAATGAACAATGAATATACTGTGTGTGCTTGAGTATAACTAGGTTTTCAAAATATTGGTCAGTGAGACAAGCACAGATCCCTTAATCCTAAAGGTTTATCCAGATTATTTGACCTAATTCTTTAATACCACATCATGAGATAACTCTGTGTGAGCAGATCATTGTAAGATCAGCAAATATAGTGCTGAATTTCATCTCCACCAGACTGTGGAGAACTTGGAGTCCTTTAATGAATGTACATAGAGAGAGATGTCAGAAGATTAGCATTTCTCGTAATGAGAAGGAGAGACACATTCATCAAAATTGCTCAAGTGCTATCAGTAGAGCATCTCCAAGCACAGAGCTTCAGTCAACGGCAGTGAGAGATGGCAGATTTCACAGGTTGGACATGGGGAAGCTTGTTAATTTCACAGTTTATAAAAGATTAATGGTAGAGGAAATAAGATACAGCTACTGCTGTCTAATTGCAGAGAACATTTTGTCTAAAGTACAACCCAGAAAAATAGAAAGGGGAATGTAATATTTTCTTTGGAAATAGGACTTGACCTCTATGTTTTACTTCAGAAGTGATGGGAGCTCCTTACCAAGAGGTCTTTCACCCTGAGTCTGGAATATGGACAGCAAACCAGCAATGCCCCATTTTACTGGGAACCCTGGGAAATCTTGCCATTGAGATCTCTCTGAATCAGGAAGATAAAAATTGATCTCAGTTCCCTGAAATCCAAGGGATGCACTGAGTCACCCCAAATGTTGTTCTCAGTTTTGAGACCTGGGTCTCCAAGGTGAATACCAACCCCTTTATTTTGCCATTAGAATTAGTTGATGACTCTGTGAATGAGGCAGAGAATTCCAGCCCCCACTTTGTGTTACAGGGCTGAATTGTATCTCCTTTCCTGCAAAATGGATGTATTGGAGTACTAACCCTCAGTGCTGCAGAATGTGACCTTATTTGGAGACAGGGTCTTTATGGAGGTAATCAAGTTAAAATGAGGCCATTAGGGTGGCTGTAATCCAGTATGACAGGTGTGCTTATAAAAAAGCAGAGAAGACTGGGAGCAGTGGCTCACGCCTGTAATCCCAGCACTTTGGGAGGCTGAGGCGGGTGGATTGCCTGAGCTTAGGAGTTGAAACCCACCCTGGGCAACATGGTGAAACCTAGTCACTACTAAAAATACAAAAAATTTAGCTGGGCATGGCGATGTGCACCTGTAGTCCCAGCTACTCGGGAGGCTGAGGCAGGAGAATTGCTTGAATCTGGGAGGTGGAGGTTGCAGTGAGCTGAGATCGTGTCACTGCACTTTAGCCTGGGTGACAGAGTGAGACTCCGTCTCCAAAGAAAGAAGGAAAGAAGGAAGGAAGAAAGAAATGTGGGCACAGAGACTGATACAGATGCAGAGGGAGCACTGGATGAAGCTGAGGGAGATCAGGTAATGCATCTACCAGCCAAGGAATGCCAAATCACCAGCAAACCACCAGGAGCTAGGAGAAGAGCATGGAACATATTCACCTTCACCACCCTCAGAAAAGACCAACCCTGGTCGGGCGTGGTGGCTCACACTTGTAATCCCAGCACTTTGGGAGGCTGAAATGGGTAGATCACAAGGTCAGAAGTTCAAGACCTGCCTAGCCAATATGGTGAAACCCAATCTCTACTAAAAATACAAAAAATTAGCTCAGTGTGGTGGTGCATGCCTGTAGTCCCAGGTATTTGGGAGGCTGAGGCAGGAGAATTGCCTGAAACCAGGAAGTGGAGATTGCAGTGAGCCAAGATTGTTCCACTGCACTCCAGCCTGGTGACAGAGGGAGACTCGGTCTCAAAAAAAAAAAAAGACCAACCCTGCTCATAATGCGTTTGTGAGCCTATAAATTTCTGCTGTTTAAGCCACTCTGCCTGTGGTCTTTTGCTGTGACAGTCCTAGCAGATTAATACATCTCATGTTCTGTTTCCTAATTTAGCCTTTCTGGCTAGGATTTTGTGGCCTAGAAACAAAAGCAGAATGATTCCATCTCTTGTATTGTTTTCTGAATGTAAATGATAAAAGACATTGCTCCTCGTCCTCCTTTTTCACATCGAGGAGCTCTGTGAAAAGACGTGAATTTAAATTTCAAGACACGTGAGTTTAAATTGCGTGGTTCCCATCAAGGATGTTAACTTCAGCAAACCACTGGCCTCCTGAGCCTCAGTTTCCCCATCTGTAACATGGTACATCTTACATGGCTGCAGACAGAGAGAGAATGAGAGCCAGGTGAAAGAGGTTTCCCCTTATAAAACCATCAGATCTCATGAGACTTATTCACTGCCACCAGAACAGTATAAGGAAAACCACCCCCATGATTCAGTTATCTCCCACTGCGTCCCTCCCACCGCACGTGGGTTACGGGTGCTACAACTCAGGATGAGACTTAGGTGAGAACACAGCCAAACCATATCAGCCATATTGATGAAAGCTGTTTATTTTTTGGGTTATGTGTTATGAAAAGGAGGAATTTATGGCAGAGATGGCCTAGGTGTTCATTAAACACGTTTCATCTTATCCCTAGATACACAACCTCAGCCTGTTTCTGGCCTTTCTTGGAGTTAACTGCTGCCAAGTGACTGAGTTCAGCTGATGATAAGTGGGCAGAAGTGCCAGGAACCACTTTCATTTCTGTCCCATAGAACCTTTGCATGTGGAATCCTACCTGCCTTTTCCTTCTTCATGCTGATAAACATCTTGACAACAGCAGAACCAGAACGTGGGAGGTATTTGGTCTCTGAATGGCTATAGGGAAGCCAGGTTGGAGCTCACAGTTTCAGACAGTTATTGTATTAAGCTGCTAAGATTAGAAAAGTTTACATGGGCAAGCATTACCCCAACGCATCAATAGGATTTTGGCTCAGAAGCAGGAAATTATTTCAGTCCTTCTTTTGCCCATTTGCGCCTCATCGGTAAGAGAAGCTGTAGTTCACGGTGGCTTCGTGCATCTGTGCCTTGGATTAGGACCTGAGGTTGCCCCTGAAGGAGAGCTGCGTATTCGAGCTGGTGGTTTGTGTGTTGCTGGGGCTTGCATTGATAGAGGGGGCTGCCATCTTTGGTGTCAGCCAAATGAATGGACCCAGCGCACCCCTGCAGTGGACCTCACACACTTGTGGCAGGTGTATCACACACATCTAGGTTTCATTTGCGTTCCCTTGTCCTCCCATTCAGTTTTAGCCACAGCTGCAGTGGTAAGTTTGAGTTGGCTTCTACCTACCTTGACCCTATGACCACTTCCCTTATGTACCCACGGTGATCTTCTGTGTTCTACCCTTCGTATTTCTCTGACACTCCTGATGTTGGTGGAAGTCACTGATCAGCAAGTACGACTAGCCTGGAGGTGGGGATCCACCCAACCAACAGCTTTGGAAGCCAGTGGTTGCAGCTTAAGGCTGATCTTGGGTGGACTATTTCGAGAGCCCCAGACGCTGACAGCAGTGGACTCAATTATGCATCCAACGTGGGTTTCTTCCCCTTCCCTCACTCTATCTGGCTGCCCACCACTGATCCCTGAGAATTTCTTGCAAATAAGATACCCAGACCCAGGTTCTTCTTTGGGGAAATACAAGTCCATACAGGCACTGACAGGATGCCTCTACTGTAGCCTCATATCTAAGTCATGTCTCAGTTTCAACTTTGTCTTGTACTTTGGCAGTTATTGGGCACTTTAATAAAGTGGATTGTTTGCTCCCATTTGCAGTTCCTTCTGTCTCTTCCCTGGTGGTTAGACTTTGGTGGAGATAAGGGGTGAGTCTGCACTCTTCATAGTCTGTAAGAGATACCAGGCATGGGAAAGCTCAGTGACACCAGAGAGATAGCACCCCCTAAAGAATTCTTATTTTTTAACTTTTAAGTTCAGGGGTATACAGGCAGGTTTGTTATATAGGTGAACTTGTGTCGTGGGGATTTGTGGTACAGATTATTTCATCACTTAGGTATTAGTCTAGTACCTATTAGTTATTTTTCCTGATCCCCTCTCTCCTCTCACCCTCCACTCTTCAAAAGGCCCCAGTGTGTGTGGTTCCCCTCTGTGTGTCCATGTGTTCTTATCATTTAGCTCCCACATATAATTAAGAACAGGTGGTATTCGGTTTTCTGTTCTTGGGTTAGTTTGCTAAGGATAATGACGTCCGGCTCCATCTGTGTGCCCGAACAAGAGCAACGATCTTGTTCTTTTTTATGGCTGCACAGTATTCCACAGTGTATACATTCCACATTTTCTTTATCCAGTCTATCACTGATGGGAAGTTAGGTTGATTCCATATCTTTGCTGTTGTAAATAATACTGCAATGATCATATGCATGCATGTGACTGATTATAAAGAATTCTAACTCAGTGATACCTATTTAAGTTAGAAGACTTATGTGATGCATTATTCATTGACCCAAAGGTGAATTCCATTGCATTAAGACACCACATTGGACATGCGATCCCATGTTTTGACATCCTAATATACAAAAAATAGTTTCATTTCCCATTAGGGCTGTGGAAGACAGAGTTGTGGTATCATACTGTGCAAGAAAGGTGCTTCAGCATCCATATGGTGAATGTGAGAGCTTGTTCCTTCATGAAAAAAATCCTTTTTTGTAATTAGAGTAAGAGATGAACTTTTATATCATTATTGTCTATCATGTGCCTTTTGCCAATTAGCATGGTTGCACTTCATGGCTTAATTTAGTATCAGTTGCGAAACTTGAAGAAATATTGGAACATCTTTGAATGTTAATGCAATTTTGTTTCCCGGGGGCATTAACCCTCCTGACATACTGGACTCTATTTTGTAGAGAGTTTTTGGATGTTTCAACTCAAATAAAAGCTTAGCTCACATAGAGAGTCTTCCCTTTTGATGCTGAAAAGGAATCTCCATTGTATTAACCCCCCTCTGGTCAAGGAGAAGAAAGAATGTAAAACAATCTTTAAGACAGCGGTCCTTAACTTTTTTGGCACCAGGAACCAGTTTCATAGAAGACAGTTTTTCCACGGACCAGGGGAGGGTAGAGCGGGGAGAGGATGGTACGGGGATGATTCAAGCTCATTACGTTTATTGTGCATTTCATTTCTATTACTACTGCATTGTACTATATAATGAAATAATTCCACAACTCACCGTAATGCAGAATCAGTGGGAGCCCTGAGCTTGTTTTCCTCCAATTAGATGGTCCATTCTGGGGTAATGGAAGACAGTGACAGATCATCAGGCGTTAGATTCTCATCAGGAACATGCAACCTAGAATCCCTTGCATGTGCAATTCACAGTGTATTTGTGCTCCTATGAGAATCTAATGCTGCAGCTCATCTGATAGGAAGGAGAGCTCAGGTGGTAATGTGAGCTACAGGGAGTGGTTGTAAATACAGATAAAGCTTCACTCACTTGCCCACTGCTCACCTCCTGTTGTTCAGCCTGGTTCCTAACAGGCCACAAACCAATACCAGTTTATGGCTCAGGGTTTGGGAACCTGTGCTTTAAGAGATAAAATTTCCAGACCCACGCAGCCTTCCTTTGCTTCTTTCCCAGATCATGCTTCTTGACATTTCACCTAAAGTGAAATCATCCATTTTAGAAATTCATCAGAGCAGGAAGGACTCTTTGAGTTTTAACCCTTAGTGCTGTGTACATGGCAAATGTTCAATGAATCCCCCTTTGGGTCTTGGGAGAGCTGCACCCCACAGTCGTCAGGTCTGACACCATCATGTGACTCCCTGAAAGATGCCAATGCTTCTGTGACCTGAGAGTTTGCTCAGAGCTGGGCGATGAGATCTCCCCATGTCACTGCATCCTGGGGAGCTTCTTAGCATCTTCTGATGGTCTTTCATGGCTAGAGTCTAGAGCAGCCATGTCCAGTAATTCCAATGCAGGAATTTTTTGCTTATCTGTGGTGGTAGATATCATGAAAATTATGCACAGACCTTTTTTTAGTGTTAGTGTATTTTATGTGTGGCCCAGGAGAGTTCTTCCAATGTGGCTCAGGGAAGCCAAAAGGTTGGACACCCTGGCTGGAGCCTCCTTGTGCGCTTTGGTAAAAGCTAAAAATTTCCAAAGAAACCTGATAGCTCATGGACACATGGTTTGTTCTGCAGAGCAGGAGACGCCGACCTTCTAGAAAGATCCTTCCACTGGGTCAACGGGAACCTAGCTGTCTGTCCCTGATCAGCATGCCATCTCTTGCCCACTGGTACCTCGTAAAATATGTACACAGAGCTTGAGCCAAATGTGGCTGGTAAATCTGCCATATTCTCTCAAGCCTCCTCTGCCTGCATCAGTAGTCACCACAGGTGAAGGAGATGGAGAGGTCTGTAGTCTCGTCTTTTCTTCCTGCCAGTTTCTTATCAATGTTCTTAGTCTGTACTGAGTCCACTTACCAAAAGCCAGCAGCCGCTTCAAGGCTTCCTTCATCTCCACTCTCAGTTTCTCACTGCGATTCCATTCCCAGCTCACCTATCTGCTGACTCCCTAGTCCCCCACAATCCTTTCTCCCACAAGGATTTAATCACTTATTTGTTTGTTCATCGAACATTTATGCACTGCGGGGCTTTGTGCAGCCTGAGATGAATCAGGCATATGCCATGCCTTTGAGAGGTTCATGGTACCGGGAATGAGCAAGACATAAAATAAGGAAGACGTGATAGTGAAAATGATCAATAGTGTGGTAAGAGCTGTAAACGTGGGAAGGCTGGGAGGCCTGGGAATAGAGGAGGAGCCTGGCTGGGGATTCCTGGAAGGTCCCCGACAGAAGTGAGATTTTAAGGGTGGAGACTGTGCAGGAGTTAACTGGCTGAAATGAAATGATGGGATGAGGGGAACGGATGAATTCCCAAAGCATTTTATGCATGTAGGATGGGAGGCTGGGGAGGTAAGGACAGTTAAGGTCTGGACACTTGAACTCCATGAAAAGAGACTGCACTCTAAGGAAGCCTTGGACTACCCTCCAGACCATGAGAACCACCAGAGCTCCTTAGCGGGGGGCAATTTTCGCTTTTCGTTTTTGGTTTCTGGATTGGAAGCTGGATTGCAGGGGCTGAGACTGAACATCTAGTGAGGGAGGGAACATAAGCCAAGGTGCAAGCTTTGAGCAGATCAAGGGAAAAGGTGCCAAGAGAAGGTACTGACTGAGAGGGCGCACTGGATGGCTGGGTCAGCTGGGAGCTGACTGAGAGGGCGCACTGGATGGCTGGGTCAGCTGGGAGCTGACTGAGAGGGCGCACTGGATGGCTGGGTCAGCTGGGAGCTGACTGAGAGGGCGCACTGGATGGCTGGGTCAGCTGGGAGCTGACTGAGAGGGCGCACTGGATGGCTGGGTCAGCTGGGAGCTGACTGAGAGGGCGCACTGGATGGCTGGGTCAGCTGGGAGCTGACTGAGAGGGCGCACTGGATGGCTGGGTCAGCTGGGAGCTGACTGAGAGGGCGCACTGGATGGCTGGGTCAGCTGGGAGCTGACTGAGAGGGCGCACTGGATGGCTGGGTCAGCTGGGAGCTGACTGAGAGGGCGCACTGGATGGCTGGGTCAGCGGGGGCCTGGAGGTCTGCTGGAAGTGGCTGGGGTGGAGACAATGGCAGAATCTTCAGTGTCTCTGAACTTGCATCAGTGTGTGTGTCTTAGAAGGCTCCGGGTAGCCACAGTCACTGCCACATTGAGCCCTTTCACAGACTCCCTTTGTGCATGTGGGAACCATCCTGCTTCTCCCACCCCATCATCAACAAAGCTATCCTCAGCCATCCCTTACTCAAGGCAGCCTTCTCGTTTGTCCAGTCTCTAGGCTTCTCCCAACACCGCCCGACGTGAGTGTCTTTTCCTTATTCCTCAGCTCACCGCCCACACAACTATTGATCCTTGGTATGATTCATATTGCTATTTATACTAACAATGGAACTTGTTGACCAAAAAATAATTAGCACAAGAAATCTGTGTATTAAGGGCCTCATTAATTTCACCAAGTTTATTTAAATGACAGCAGAATGTCAGGTCAATAATGATGACTAATTAATAAGTACATCCGAATACCTTAAAGCACACTGAAGAAGTGGCTTGTAAGGCTGTAGCGGGAGGATGGATGGCTTCTGGTAAGCAGAGGTGATACTTCCTCTTTCTATTTTTTTTTTTTTTTTTTCTGAGACAGGGTCTGCTTCTGTTGCCCAGGCTAGAATGCAATGGTACAATCATAGCTCATTGCAGCCTCGACCTCCTGAGCTCAAGTCATACTCCCACCTCACTGCCTCTTGAGTAGCTGGGACTACAGGCATGACTGAGTAGTTTTCCTTTTTTTTTTTTTTTTTTTTTTTGGTTAGAAATGGGGTCTTGCAATGTTGCCCAGGCTGGTCTTGAACTCCTGGCTTGAAGAGATCCTCCCACCTCAGCCACTCAAATAGCTGGGACTACAGGCCACCACTCCTGGATAATTTTATTTTAAATTTCTTTTGGCAGAGATAGGGTCTTGCTGTGTTGCCCAGGCTGGTCTCAAACTCCTGGTCTCAAGCAGTCCTCCCACCTTGGCCTCCCAAAGTACTGGAATGACAGATGTGAGCCATCATACCCAGCCTGACACCTTTTCTCTTAAATAGAGGAGTCCAAGTTGTGACTATCCCAAAGTCTTATGTGTTACGTAGATGGTCTGGCTGAGTTAGGTAAAGGGCTGACTCCGGCCCATTTGGGATTTTAAGAGACGTCCCAGGGTAATCAGTAGCTTAAGACTCCCACCTAATCACAAGAGGCTGCTGCCTCTCCCCCTGACCCTGGCCAAACTTCATTAGGAGATAGTGTGGCTTAGAGTGAAGAACAGGGCTTTGGAAACGAGATATCCCTGGTTTTGAATCTGCCTCCCTTGCCTTGTATCTATGCAACTTTGCCCCCAACCCCCCACATTGTAAGCAGGAACATTAGCCTCACCCTGTAGAGATGTTGGGGATTTGAGTATGTCCTGTTGGAAAGGCTTGGTTGCCTGCAGTGCAGAAGGTTTTCAGGGAGTGTCCTTCCCACCCCTCAACCCCGCTTTCTCTCCTTATTTACTCCCCACCTCTGGATAAGACCAAGTATCGCTTTGCTTGCTTTGCTCAGCAGGGACACAGGCGTGTGAGCCTCTCCAAGGCACCTGAGTCCTCCCTTTTTGGTTCTCTGCATGCTTAAGCTGTAGTTAGGAATTAGGAAGCCCTAGGAACCTGTAATCACCTATGAGAGGCGATTTCATACCTTTAACCTCCTCCACACTCCTCAGTTGGAAACAGCGCAATGCTTTAGGGAGCTCCTGTCGTCGGGATGTTTAGGCAGAGTCCGCTGGCTTCAAACAGAACCAACTGTTCTGAGCACACAGCCCTGGGGCACGGCAGAGGGGAGCCAGTGAGAAGCGCCTTCTATAAAGAAGCAGAGGCGCTCAGAGTCCCCTCCTCTGAGAGCCAGCAGGGAGGGGAGCAGGCTGGGATCTGAAAGCTGCTTTGGCAAGCCACCCTGAGGACATGCTAACATTGCTTTCTAGTCAGGCTTATGGGTTTTGCTTTGTTGTAGAAGAAATGGTTCTTTCAGATATTATTTTATTTTATTTTACTTTAGGTGTATACTATATCCAGCATTTCTCCCCATGTTATTCCTCCCCACCCCCTGCTGTTCCTCCCCTACCCCCCGCCCCCAACTGCCCCCAGTGTGTGAAGCTCCTCTCCCTGTGTCCACGTGTTCTCATTGTTCAGCACCCACCTGTGAGTGAGAACATGCAGTGATTGGTTTTCTGCTCTTGTGTCAGTTTGCTGAGAAGGATGGCTTCCAGATTCATCCAAAAAGCCAAGTGCAATATTTTTCCAAGACTGAGAAACCCTGACGGGCTTATTTGGGAGTGAGTTAGAGCCAGAGTCAACCCACCCTGAGGGACTTGGAGCAGGGCTGGTGATGCCTCAACGAAACCTTGGAAATCGAGAATGCCCCCATTTTAAAGGTGGGTAAACTGAGACTCAGGCATGCATCTCCTTGGGCATATCCAGGACTAGTAAGGGGCAGGAGGCAGTAGTAAGACCCAAAGGGTACCCTGGCAGGGCTTGGGGCTGCTGATGGATGCATTTATTATAGCTCCTCCTTGCTCTGTTTCCACATCTGCCATCATCCCGCCAGAGGGTAAGCTGTCTAAAAATCAGGAGCATGTCTTGCTCATTTGTGGAACCCTGATGCCTAAATGCAATCCTTGGCATACAATAGGGACTCACTCAATGTTTGCTGATTGAATGAGAGAATGTTGACCACAGAAGTCCAAAGATACAGAAGTGCATTTAGAACAAGGGCCCAGAGGGGAGCCACACAGAGAGAAAAGCAAGGAAGGGCCAGTCCAGCACCCCACTGGTGGGAGTGGGTGCAGGTGCCCTCATCTTCAGCAGGCGCCCCTGCCTGTGCCGAGCCCTGGCCATGCGTGGCCGTATCCACCCTCACAGCAGGCACACGGGGAAGGCAGGGTGATCACTGCTTTAAACAAGAGGAAACTGCGACTCTGACAGGTTTGCCAAGTTGCTGAAGGCTGTGCAGAGAGTGAAAAATGAAGCCAGGCACGTCCTTCTCCCGCCCACGCTCTGTTAGCTCTACTGTTGAAACGGAACAGAGCGGTGATCTTACAGAAAGGAGCCAGAGGACAAGGGGGTTAGTCTGGGGACCCCACAGGAGAAGATCTTTCTTTCTGGGGAAAGGTCAGACGGGTTTCCTGGTCTGAAGCCTGGATCGAAGTTAGGGTCAGAGTGGGTGCTGGTAACTCCTGATGTGGTGCATGAAAAGGGGAGGTTTTGTTCATTTTGAATAGGAAATACTGAGCTAAGAAGCAAGGTCAGGCCAGGCGTGGGGGTGGCTCACACCTGTAATCCCAGCTCTTCGGGAGGCTGAGGCGGGTGGATCACCTGAGGTCAGGAATTCGAGACCAAACTAGCCAACGTGGTGAAATCCCACCTCTACTAAGAATACGAAAATTAGCCAGGAGTGGTGGTGGGTACTGGCAATCCCAGCTACTCCGGAGGCTGAGGCAGGAGAATTTCTTGAACCCCAGACGTGGAGGTTGCAGTGAGCTGAGATCGCACCACTGCACTCCATCCTGGGTGACAGAGTAAGGCTCCGTCTCAAAAAACAAAACAAAACCAGTCAGGGTGGAAATGACCCAAAGATGGGTTTCATGCCTGGGCAGCCGCAAAGCCAGTAAGTATAATTGAGGTAGTTTCTAAGCCAGCAGGGTGGAGACTCCAGGGCAGGAGTGCACGTGGGAGGCTTCCTTTTACCAGCAGAAGGAGACGGAAGGTGGAAGGGACACTTGGATGAGCCCTGTGAGGCGGGCACACACAGTGATCACCCTGCCTTCCCCATATGCCTGCTGCGAGAGTAGACACAGCCGTGCACGGCCGGGGCTCAGCACAGGCTGCCAGGTAGGGCGTGGGCAGCTCCCGGGACCTTGCCTGTCTGCACCAAAGCTCTTCCCATCCTAAAACTACTCTTTGCCTTTGGCCTGACGTGAGCAGCCATGTTCAGAGGAAACACTCCAAAGCCAACCCTGGGAGTTGTAGAGAAATATGCTTGATGCAGGAATGAGGTCAACCCAAGCTTCTCTGGAGCCAGGTCTTCCTAGCAGTGTTTACCACCTGGAACGCAGAAGGAGCCTGTCTGTCATGTTCTCCATCCACAGAGCTAACAGAAGGAGACTTGTTAGTGCTGGGGATACTGGTGTCCTGGGAGACCACCCATTTCTATGCTAAGAATGGCGCCTCAGGGCACTGCTGGAGCTGCTCCAAGGGACGAGGAACCAGGGATTCTCTGTAAACTGGGAGAGCCTCATGGTCCCTGGCTCTGGATACCGTTTTTCCACCGGAGACCTTAGCAGGGACAGGATTGAGCTGTTGTGTTTCTCTGAGTTTGTCAGGAAATCACCTTTTCGGCTTCTGTCTCCAGTTGCTCTCTTTTTCCATGGGGTTCAGACATTAGCCCGTGGCTCTGGGCAAGAAGAACAGATAAGGAGCTGTTTATATCCCTGTCCCCCTTTCCCCAATACTGTCCCAGCACCTCACTCCTGCATAAACCTTCTGCACACATGAATCTGCATAAAGAGATAGCTGCACTGCACCATGTCCTACAGCCTCATCGCCCCTGGCTGAGGTTCCTTTGGGCATGGCAGGTCAGTACTTATCCTTGGGAGGAACTGAGGGGCAGATGGAGCTTGATATCTGGGTCCAGTGATAGCCAGTGGCACAGCAAGCAGGGGAGTGGGAGGGTTCGCCTTGGATGAAAGCAGTAAGGGAATACATCAGCCATGCTCAGTGGCTCATGCCTGGAATCCCAGCACTTTGTGAGGCTGAGGTAGGAGGAGTGCTTGAGGTCAGGAGTTTGAGACCAGTTTGGGCAACATAGTGAGATCCCATGGCCACTAAAAAAGTTAAAAAATTATCCAGGCACAGTGGCTCACACCTATAGTCTCTGCTACTTGGGAGGCTGAGACTGGAGGATCTCTTGAGACTAGGAGTTTGAGGCTGCAATGAACTGTTCACAGCACTGCACTCTAGCTGAGCCAGAGTGAGATCCTGTCTCAAAAAATCAATTTATTGTTCATTGTTCCTAGATAATTTTAAAACAATAAAATCGACTAGAGGTTGGTCAACTTTTTATTGTCATCTTACACCAGCAGTTCTAATAAAATTAGCGATAGAATATTCTTCCTCCAAATCTTCTGTTGGTCTGTGTTCTAGGCCATTGGTTCACAGTATCTTCTGATAATGGTGATATATACGTAAACTGCAAGTTATGATTTATTATTACTTTTGTTTATTATTATCTTTTTCTTTTTTCTTTTTTTTTTTTTTAAGAGACAGGGTCTCGCTCTGTCGCCCAGGCTAGAGCACAGCCTTGATTTCCTAGGTTCAGACAATCTTCCTTCCTCAGCCTCCTGAATAGCTGGGGCCACGCAGGTGCATGCCACTGTGCTCAGCTTTATTTTATTTTATTTTTTTGTAGAGACAAAGTCTCACTGTGTTGCTCAGGCTAGGCTTGAACTCCCGACCTCAAGCCATCCTCCTGCTTCAGCCTACTAAAGTGCTGGGATTACACGTGTGAGCTGCCACACTCAGCCAAGATGTTCCTCTATATGGAACTCCAGTTGGAGAACTCCCAGCTTTCTAGCTGGTCTCAACATGTATGGACTCGGCTACACACACTGCTTCTGAGGAAAGGTTCCTAATGGTTGAGTCATTTGAATTTGCTTCTGCTGAAGTTCGTATCTCTAAACTACATATGTATCCCTGTATTTGAGCAGAGATTGTTAACATTGTTTAAAACATGAATTGTTGGCCCGGTGAGGTGGCTAGGGCTTGTAATCTCAACACTTTGGGAGGCTGAGGCGGGAGGATTGCTTGAGTCTAGGAGTTTGAAGCCAGGCTGGGCAACACAGAAAGACACTATCTCTACAAAAAATTAAAAAAAAAAAAAAATTAGCCAAGCTTGGCTAATTTGCCACAAGGCAATTGAGCATGTGCCTGTGGTTCCAGCTACTGAAGAGGCTGAGGTGGGAGACTCTTCTGAGCCCGGGAGGTCGAGGCTGCAGTGAGCTGTGATCGCACCATTCCACTCTGACCTTGGCGACAGAATGAGACTTTGTTTCAAACAAAACAAAACATAATTGTCGAACTCATTGAAATCTAATGATCGATTTGACATAAAAGATGCTAAAGTCATTGCAGAGATAAACAGGTCTTTGAGTGACTTCAGTTCTCTCATTCCACCTACTAAGAGTCTCCGAATTTAGCACAATTGACTCATTCAGAAAAAATGTTTCCAGGTTTATCAAAAACATTCACATGGAACTAAGACATCGTGATACATTTCTCCTTTCCTCTTTTTCACACTGTAATTTTTAAAGATTTTTCTTTATGTTTAGTTCGATATAAGAAATTTTCACGATTGGCATTTTTGTTCTTAATATTATGAGGACTTGTTTCGTTTATGGATTTTTACTGAAAACTATTTTGATATATACAGCAGGGGACTGGTGAGATATGGCTGCTTAGGGTGTGAATATGTGGTATGGATTGAATTGTGTCTCCCCAGTCATATGTTGAAATCCTGATTCCCAGTGTGACTCTGTGGAGATATTGAAGATAGTTTTTTGTTTGTTTGTTGTTTGAGATGATGTCTTGCTTTGTCGCCCAGGCGAGTGCAGTGGCACGATCTTGGCTCACCACGACATCCTTCTCAGGTTCAAGAGAGTCTGCTGTCTCAACCTCCCAAGTTGCTGGGAGTACAGGCACACACCACCACACCCAGGTAATTTTTGTATTTGTAGTAGAGGTGGGGTTTAACCATATTGGCCAGGCTGGTCTTGAACTCCCAACCCAGGTGATCCACCCACCTCGGCCTCCCAAAGTGCTGGAATTACAGGGCTGAGTCACCACACCTGGCCGAGATAGCCTCTTTAACGAGGTAATTAGGGTTGAATGATGCCCTAATGTAGGACCCTAGTCTAACAGAGCTGGTGTCTCTGTAAGAAGATGAGGAAACACTTCAGGGGGCACATGTGCAGACGAAAGGTCATGCTAGGACACAGTGAGAAGGCAGCCAGCTGCAAGGAGAAACCAAATCTGCAGACACCTTGATCTTGAACTTCCAGCCTCCAGAACTCTGAGAAAATCATTGTCTGTTGCTTAAACCACCCAGTCTATAATATTGTGCTATGGCAGCCTGTACAGACCAGTACAGTACCCGAGGGGTCTTTCCAGACAGCTGCAAACCCTGGCAGAGCTGGGTTGCAGGGAGAAGATCTTCTTCCAGGACACTTGGGGGTATTATCCCAAATGCCCAGTGTGGTGGCCCAGGCCTGTAATTCTAGCACTTTGGGAGGCCGAGGCAGGAGGACTGGTTGAGTCTAGGAGTTGGTGTGATGTGGTGGTTTGGGCCTCTAGTGGCTCTGCTGTCTCCTGATGGGCCTTGGGGCTTCTTTACTCTGTTGTAGAAACATCAGACCTGGGTCTAGGTTAGGATTTAAGCAGGTGAATGAGGAAGGAAGAATCACAGGAGGGAGAACAGTGTGTGAGCCCACGGCGTAGGGAGGAATGTCAGGCTTATTCACAGATGCCATCTGGTTTAGCCACCCTGGCTCTCAAGGTGAGTTCAAGGCCCTCTGTAGGTTTCCAAGATTCTTTGGGGGATCCACAAGAGCCTCTGTTTTTCACCTACATATCTGTGTGAGGCTGGATTTTCTACATATAACTAAACCAAAATAAGGTTTTGTAGCAGATTGAAGGAAGGAGTGGATTTGGAAATCCAGCTGTCTTCCATTAAGCCAGACACGAGAGATTTGCAAAAATGTAAAACGATGCTCCTCTCAGGGTTTGGGAATATAGTTTGCTTTTAACAAATATGTTATTTATATTATCGTGCAATGGGCTCATTGTTTACTAAGTTAATAAAAAATGTTAAAAATGTTGGTTTTAATCTATAATGCTTTATCAATTGATGTTATAACCCACATTGAGGAAAGCATTTGGGGGATTCTGATTTTTTTTGTTTTTTTTTTTTTGAGGCAGAGTCTTGCTGTGTTGCCCAGGCTGGAGTGCAGTGGTGCAATTGCAGTTCACTGCAACCTCTGCCTTCCAGGTTCAAGCAATTCTCTTGCTTCAGCTTCCTGAGTGGCTGGGACTACAGGCATACGCTGCCACACTGGCTAATTTTTGTATTTTTAGTAGAGATGGGGTTTCACCATGTTGGTCTGGTGGGTCTTGAATTCCAGACCTCGTTGATCCACCTGCCTTGGCTTCCCAAAGTGCTGGGATTACAGGCGTGAGCCAACACGCCCAGAATCCCAGTGGTTTTTAAAAGTGCAAAGCTCTCAAAAAGTTTTGAGAACTTCTCAGGTAAAATACAGACTATGTGAAATTCAGTAGCACAAGCCAGGGACACATCACAAAATGCTAAGGGGGCCAAGGTGATCTTGTGCTTCTTTTTGCAGGCAGAAAGGGGCTGTGAAATGGTTCCATGAAAGCAGAGATACAAAGGGAGATGTGCTTCAGGAAAATATTTTTGGAAATAGGTGCTCGGTGCTGCAAAGAAAAATCAGCACGGAGACAAAGGATCTTTCAGCAATGCAATTTTTACTTCCTGGACTGCAGGAAAGGTACCCTCGCCAGCCATCCTGCCATGAGAGTACAATGAACAAAGGGAAACACACAAATTTATCCCTTACGCATTTGGGGTTGTCCCTACTGCTGTGTCTGATCTCCACTGGCTGGAGCCAGACCTCACAATCTAAACTAAAACCCGATTGGCTAATAACTTAAAACTTTTCTAAACAGGTAAAAGCAGTGGAGAGCTGGGCCATGCCTGTGAGCACGTCCAGCACAGATAATTTGCTAAAGTACAAGGACATAGAATGTACCACGTGCCTGTAAGCATGGCAGGTCTCACAGCTACATAGGATGGGGCTTAACAAAGTTATTAGCTCACTTACTATTTAACAAGAAAGGAAACTTCAAAAATTTCCTTTTTGACGCTGGTGAAGGTTGTGGGCAGAGAGAAAAGCCAATGTCCTCTTGCAGTAAGAGAGGATGGTGGCAAAGTTGTCCAATCTGAAAATACAGTGAAGGATGGGGAGGGAACCAGGACCTATCAGGAGACACATTCAATTCAGCAGGCCCGGAGCTGGGGGCCGATTCAACTGCATCCTTTAGCTAGCACATGGCTACAAGCTAAAGTTTTGAGTATTTCTGCAGGAGATCCCGGGAAACCGGTTTCCGTGAAGAGTCAGTATCTGGTGAGTGACCCCTGGTTTAAAGACAAACTTTTGGGGTCAGGTGCAGTGGCTAACACCTGTCATCCCAGCACTTTGGGAGGCCGATGCAGGCAGATCCCTTGAGGTCAGGAGTTTGAGACCAGCCTGGCCAACATGGTGAAACCCCGTCTCTAATAAAAATACAAAAATTAGCTGGGTGTGGTGGTGGACACCTGTAGTCCCAGCTGTTTGGGAGATTGAGGCAGGAGAATTGTTTGGAACCAGGAGGCAGAGGGTGTAGTGAGCTGAGATTTTACCACTGTATTCCAGCCTGGGCGACAGAATGAGACTCCATCTCAGGAAGAAAAACAAAAAACTGTTAGGTGGCTTCTCGATGCACTTACAACATAATTTCACAGCGCTCGCCCAGCCTGTAGACCTGGGAGTTCCCCTCAGAGGGCAGGTTCCCTCTTCTTTCTCTCATCACTTGCTCCAGACACTTGGGCTTTTGAGCTTCCTTTATGTACCTTGAACATGCTGTCCTCTTTTCCATACACATGGATTCAAATTAGTAATCTTCTCTCTTTGTTTTTTTAGAGACAAGCTGTCACTGTCATCCAGGCTGGAGTGCAGTGGTGCATCATACCCTATTGCAGCCTCAAACTCCTGGGCTCAAGTGATCCTTCTGCCTTAGCCTCCTGAGTAGCTGGGACTACATACAGGTACACACCACCATGCCAGGCTTATTTTTATTATTTTTGTAGAGAAGGGGGTCTCATTATGTTGCCCAGGCTGGTCTCTAAGTCTTAGTCTTAAGAGATACTCTTGCCTCTGCTTTCCAAAGCACTGGGATGGCAGGTGTGAGCCACTGCACCTAGCTGTCATTTTCTTATTATTTTTCAGACAGTCCTCACTCTGCTGCCCAGGCTGGAGTGCTATGGTGCAATCACGGCTCAGTGCAGCCGCTGCCTCCCAGGCTCAAGCGATTCTCCCACCTCAGCCTCCCGAGTAGCTGGGACCACAGGTGTCCACGACCATGCCTGGCTGATTTTTGTATTTTTTGGTAGAAAGGGGTTTCACTATATTGCCCAGGCTGGTCTTGAACTCCTGGCCTCAAGCAATCCTCCTGTCTCAGCCTCCCAATGTACTGGGATTACAGGTGTGAGCCGCTGCACCAGGCTGTCATTTTGTTTTTTAGTGACTACTACTTTTCCTTATCTTAGATCTTAGTTCAGATGTTACTTCCTCTGACCGCCATCCCTAAAGGAGGCTCACATTGTCTCTTTGGTTCCCTGTATCATTCTACCCTATTATTTCTTGCTATCTAGAATTCTTAAGTTTTTTTTTTTTTTTTTTTGAGACTGAGTCTTGCTCTGTTGCCCAGGCTGGAATACACTGGGACAGTCTTGGCTCACTGCAACTTCCCCGTCTCGGGTTCAAGCGAGTCTCCTGCCTCAGCCCCCCAAAGTGCTGGGATTACGGGCATGAGCCACCATCCCCGGCCTCCTGCTCCTCCAAGGCACGTTCAGTTACCCCCATCACAGCAAAGAACCTGAAAGGCACGTCAGGTTGACCAAAGGAATCACTTCCTCAAAGAGAAGCAGCATCAAGCAATTCTTTCCAAGATCCTTTTTTAGAAACAGTTGTAAATTTATAATTTTTATTTTTAGAGACAGTGTCTTGCTCTGTCACCCAGGCTGGAGTGCAGTGGTGCAGTCATAGCTCACTGCAGCCTTGAACTACTGGGCTCGAGTGATGACCTCACCTCAGCCTTCAGAGTAGCTAGGACTATTCAGGTGCATATACCACTGCTCCAGGCTGATTTGTTGTTGTTTATAGAGATGGGGGTCTCACCATGTTGCCCAGGCTGGTCTTGAAGTACTGGGCTCAAGTGATCCTTCTGCTCTGGCCTCCCAAAGTGCTGGGATTACAGGTATGAGCCCAGGCCTGGTCCCCAGATCCTTTGAGGATGGACAGTCGTTTTGGGAAGACTGAGATCAATGATCTGGATGTCCTTCTCAATACATTTGAAAAAGGGGCCGGGCACAGTGGTTCACACCTATAATCCCAGCACTTTGGGAGGCCAAGGTGGGTGGATTGCCTGAGCTCAGGAGTTCGAGACCAGCCTGGGCAACATGGTCAAACCCTGTCTCTACTAAAATACAAAAAATCAGCCGAGCATGGCAGTGCACCTATAGTCCCAGCTCCTCGGGAGGCAGAGGTTGCAGTGAGCTGAGATCGCACCACTGCACTCTAGCCTGGGCAACAGAGTGAGACGCTGTCTTCAAAAAACAGGATGCTGTGTATTGTGAATTATCACACATCTGTGGATCTGTGGTCTAGTGGCAACTGACCTTAACAATGATCGCAGAAGGACAGTGTAACCCCTAAAAGGTCTCAAGCTCGTTCTTGTCCTGGTACCTTCATCCCACAGCTTGTCGGTCCTTCCAGGTGTGAGACCTTTGCCACCAGTCACAGGTAAGTTAGTTCTGGGGTAAAGTTCTGGTTCCTGGGAAGCAGAGGAGAGAGCAGCATCTGGGGATGTATGTCCCCTATCCCTGGCTTTGCTCTGGCCCTGTGCTTCCTTGTCCTTCCGTCTCTGCAAAGAGCCCAGTTAATGAGCAGCTGAACCTGTCCTTAGCAGCCTGAGTGGAAGTTTCCTTCTGCCTAAGGCAATTTCACCTGCTGTGCTCTCTTCACTGAGGCCCAGGTAGAAGCAGGAGCAAGTCGGAAAAGTTTAATTGGGCCCCAAATGTGATTAACCAGGACTCTCTGGCATATGTTCTGCTCGTGTTTAGCATGCCACAAATTCTAGCATTACCCGGTGGGTCCTAAAAGCCATTGTGCTTTTAATGTTCCTTGCCTAGTTTACTCAAGTTGGAATTTAAGTCAAAGGGTAACACCTACATTGGGGATAACTCAATCGTTTATCTTAATATTACGACTAATGTCATGTTTTAAAGGAGCTTTTTAAAAGCAATGGTTTTAACTACGTTATACACTTTTAAGGGAATCTGGTAGGCAGCTGACTGAATCTGGCACACTGTAATAATTTTAGACATGATAAAAAATAAAACAGCAAGAATGAGAGACAAGGCGCAAAGGTACTGAACTTGAGCCAAAACCAATATTGGGACGTTCATGGTGTGAAAATGGAGGATCCCACACGCTCCCACTCAGCTCACAATGTGATCCCTCAACAGCAAGATCTCCTTCCTGGCCTCCTTTATTTTTCTTAGGATGGAGTCTCTGTCATCCAGGCTGGAGTGCAATGGCGCAATCTCGGCTCACTACAACCTCTGCCTCCCAGGTTCAAGCGAATTTCCTGTCTCAGCCTCCCAAGTAGCTGGGACTACTGGCATGAGCCAGATGACCAATGACTGGTAGATAAGCATCCTCTCCCTTGACCTCATATGGTCTCCCTTCTTCCCTTCTGTGTTGTGTGTGTGTGTGTGTCCTAACCTCTTTTTTTTCTAGACAGAGTCTTGCTCTGTTGGCCAGGCTGGAGTACAGCGATGTGATCTCAGCTCACTCTGTCTCCTGAACTCAGGCAATTCTCTTGCTTCAACCTCCTGAGTAGGTGAGAATACAGGCATGCACCACCACGCCTGGCTAATTTTTGTATTTTTAGTAGAGGTGGGGTTTCACCACGTTGGTCTCGAACTTCTGACCTCAAATGATCTGCCTGCCTTGGCCTCCCAGAGTGCTGGAATTACAGGTGTGAGCCACTGCCCCCAGCCCCCTAATCTACTTTTCTCATAAGGACACCAGTCATAGTGGATTAGGGCCCCCTCTAATGACCTCAGTTGAACCTAATTACTTACCTCTTTAAACGTCCTATCTTGAAATACAGTCCCATTATGAGGTAGAGGTGGTTAGAACTTCAACCTATGGGTTTTAGTGGACCCAGTTCATCTAGCAGAGAATGCTTTTTTTTTTTTTTTTGAGGGAAAGGAGTGGACAGAGGTAGCTGAGATTTGAAAAGGGACTCGGGGACTCAAATAGCCAGTTTTTGTCTCAGGAAATTTACCAAATTTTGGGACTTTGCAGGGTGGGGGGCTAACATCCCAGGCAGAAAGCCTCTGAAAATCACAGTGGAGTTTTTGGCAGACTTGAGACAGCGATTAGGTTCAGCACCAGCTGAGAGTTAGGGTCTGTCATAGTCTGCTTGGGTACCTACTGGCTGGCTGGCTTAAACAACAGGACTGTATCTTCTCACAGTTCTGAAGGCTGGAAGTTCAAGATCAAGGTGATGGGAGGGTGGATTTCTGGTGAAGTTTCTCTCCGTATCATCCTGTGGCCTTTTCTCTGTGCATGCATCCTTCTGGTAACTTCTAGGGGGTCTTCCCTTTCCAATTGTTCAGTGAACAATGGCCTCCCACCTCTTGACACATTCTGCCCAAGCTACTGTGCCCTCTTCTAATTGGTGCCAAATGAGCTCACCTTGACTCTGCTCATCTCTGGCCAGTGCCTTGAGGATTGTTTTACCCACTGTCTGGCTCTCTGTGGTTCTAGGTGGTCTTGTATGGATCTCCAAACAGTTCCCTGGTCCAACTGTTGGTCTTTGTAGTGGGGTGGGCTTCATGGACATCTGAAAGGTAAGCTTTTCACATCTTATGAGGACACCAGTCGTATTGGGTGAGGGCCTCAACTCTTATGGCCTGATTTTGTTTTTTTTTTTGAGAGAGAGTCTCATTCTGTTGTCCAGGCTGAAGTACAGTGGTGCAATCTCAGCTCACTGCAACTTCCTGGGATCTAAGAAGTCTCCTAAGTAGCTGGGATTATAGAAGCCTGCTATCAAACCTGGCTAATTTGTGTTTTTTTAGTGGAGACGGGGTTTTGTCCTGTTGGCCAGGCTGGTCTTGAACCCCTGACCTCAAGTGATCCACCTGGCTCCCACAGTGGTGGGATTATAGGTGTAAACCACCATGCCCAGTCTCATTTAAGCTTAATCCCCTCCTTCAAAGGCCCGGTCTCCAAATGTAGTTCACGAGGGGTTATGGCTTCAATATATGAATTTGGAGGGGAATACAGTGCTGTCTATAATAGGTCCCCGCAGAATGAACCGAGTGGCTAGAAACACACAGGACGTTGCCACAGCTGCAACCCACCCTTGTGTGATGCAATGAGGATTTTTGGGAGGCATGGATGATGAGTGGCAGGCGCAGACTCCCTGGGGAGTACCTGTTCCAGGACAGATCCTCCCAGGTGCGCTTTACCTGATAATAGATTCCGCACAGTGTTTCAAGAGCTCCTACCAATCAATCACTTCAGGATCATTGTGAGCACGGAAGCCAGGCACATGTCCTTTATTCCAAGCAGACCTTGGCTACTCACAGGAATGGGCTGTCTCCTCATCTTTCCACCATGTGAACTCCAGCATATCCATCTGGCTCTGACTCAGTTACCGTCACTTCTCTAGCCTCTTCTGGTTCTACAACCCTCATTTACTTACTTTTCCTCCCCCTCCCTTCTCTCTTTCCTTTTTTGGAGGGACAGGTGATTGCTTTGCTGCTCCACTCCCTTTCCCTCCCCTCTTTGCTATTTTGGAAGGACAGGTTCTTGCTCTGTTGCCCATGCACAGTGGTGCCATTATAACAACTCACAGCAGCCTCGAACTTCTGGGCTCAAGTGATCCTCCCACAGCAATGGGATGAGAGGTACAACCCACTGCACCCCACCCTATGTGTTGTATTTTTCTGTCTCCAGACTGTGTGACTTTATTGTACCTTGATTAAAGACCCTACCTCAAAATAAGGTCCCCTTCATAGGCACTGGGAGCTTGTCGTCAGTAACGGAGATCCAGCTGAATCATCTATTTGTAGAGAAAACAGGGTAACCATCATTTTGCTCTCAACTCATCAGGGATAGGACAGAAGGACATGACTTTTTTTTTTAAGGCAGTAAAGAACTACAGAAAAGTTAGAGTCCGTTTTCTTGTCATTGCCCCATAATACCATCCAAGCAGTATTTCCTTCTCTTAGGCGCACTCCAGGTTTCCTGAAGCCCAGACATGATTTAAATTTCCTTAACATCCTGATGCAGCCTCGTCTGTGCTTCCTTCATTCCTCACTTTATGGCAACTTGGCTGCAGACCTCACTGGTCATTTAGGAATAAACAAACCTTCACTGATCCCTTCAGCTCGAGGATTTTGTGGGAAGTTGAAAAGTTCCTTTTTAAAATTTCCTTTCTCGTTAAAGAGTAAGTATGCTAATAACTTTGTTAAGCCCCATCCTATGTAGCTGTTAGGCACGCCATGCTTACAGGCACATAGTACATCCTACGTCCTTGTACTTTAACCAAGATGTCTGTGCTAGATGTGCTCACAGGCGTGTCCCAGCTCTCCGTTGCTTTTACCTGTTTAGAAAAGTTTTAACTTGTTAGGCAATGGGTTTTAGTTTAGACTGTGGGGTCTGGCTCCAACCAACGGTGATCAGATACAGCAGTAAGGACGACCCCAAATGTGTAAGGGATAAATTTGTGTATTTCCCTTTGTTCTTTGTACACTCATGGCACAAGGGCTAACAGGAGTACCCTTCCCGCAGCCCAGGAAGTAAAAATTGCGTTGCTGAAAGATTGTCTCAGTGCTGACTTTTCTCTGTGGCACCGAGAATCTATTTCCAATAGGGTTCATTTTCAAATTTGGTGGGAGTTGGGATCTCAATACAACATTTTTTGGGGGACACAATTCAAACACTGCTAGCCCCCCTCCACCCTCTTGGCACATTCTGCTTTAGCTATTGTGTCCACTGCTCTGTAGTTACAGAATTGGTGCCAAACAAGCTCACCTTGGCTTTGCTCATCTCCGGCGGATGGTTTAACCACCTTCTGGTTCCCCTTGGACCCAGATGGTCAAGCATGCTACTGTAGACAGTCCCCTCGTCCAACTCTGTTGGTCTCTGTAGTGAGGTGAGCTTGTTTGTTATGTAGGGCTCGACGGGAGTCCTAAAGGTAAGATTTTCAAACCGCTTGTTACCACATGCAGTGTTTCATGCATACTGTGCAAGCATCCAGCTTCATCTCCGTTGATGCATTAAATTGTTCTCTGACCCTGCGGGGACCTATCATTTCTATTCTTTGTGGAGTCAAAGGTTGAGAAGTACAGGCACGGTGGTGGGGTGCAATCTACCAAGTATAGGAAGACAGTGCCCGGAAATGTCAAATATGGGATCAAATATGGGAACAGAACGACATACGAGGGGTGATCACTTTTTCTTAATCACACAGCACTGAAAGTGGACAAATGAAAGATTATCCCTCCCAAACCTGTTTACTTTTAAAAACTAGTATATACCTTCTCCTTTTCTTTTTTTTTTTGAGACGGAGTCTTGCTCTGTCGCCCAGGCAGGAGTGCAGTGGCACGATCTCCGCTCACTGCAACCTTTGCCTCCTGGGTTTAAGTGATTCTCCCACCTCAGCCTCCCGAGTAGTTGGGATTACATGTGCGTGCCACCACACCTGGCTAACCTCAGTTTTTAAATTATTCTTCCCTAATCTCTAGCATTCAGGAAGGTATTTGAATCACTTAATCTCGAAAAGATTAGAATCAACTTTTTTTTTTTAGATGGAGTCTCACGCTATTGCCCGGGCTGGAGTGCAGTGGTGCGATCTCGGCTCACTGCAACCTCTGCCTCCCAGGTTCAAGCAATTCTCCTGCCTCAGCCTCCCAAGTAGCTGGAATTACAGGCACCCACCACCACACCCAGCTGATTTTTGGATTTTTAGTTGAGTGGGGTTTCACCATGTTGGCAGGCTGGTTTCAAACTCCTGACCTCAAGTGATCCATCTGCCTCAGCCTCCCAAGAATCTACTGCAATCAGCAACTGATCAATTATACTCTTGTTTTCTGGATTACTTTTTTAGAGTTGGCAGTCTTACCCTGTCTCCGAGGCTGAAGTGTAGTGGCATAGTCATAGCTCCTTTCAATGATCCTCCTGCCTCAGCCTCCCTAGTAGCTGGGACTATAGGCATGCATCACTACACCAAGCTAATTTTAATAATTTTTTTTGTAGAGATGGGGGCGTCTTATGCCCCCCAGGCTGGTCCGGGACTCCTGGCCTCAAGCTGTCCTCCTGCCTCTGCCTCCGGAAGTGTTGGGACTAGAGCATGAGCCACAGCTCCGAGCTGGTTTCTGTTTTTAAAGGCTGAGAATGACAGTTTAAGGAGGCAGGTGGGAACTGTGGGGGATGGGGCTGGAGCCAAGAACAAGGACTTTGAGGCTTTTTTAAAGCCAGTGTCTATTTTCAGAAGGGAACAAAACACCAAAAAAGCATGTGTCATCCCGCTGATTCTACACAACGTCCTGGGTGAGTCAGACGTGTTCTGGCATCTCTGCTAAATGCCATCTCAGAAGAGGGGCAGGTCAGAGGGGCTCACAGATGCATCCTCTCGTCCGTACAGTCTGGACAATCTTAGTAACTTAATTTTTTTTAATGAATAAGAGAAGTCACAAAAGTTTGTTAGGACTTCCTTCCTGCATATTCTTTTTTTTTTTTGAGTCAGTCTTGTTCTGTCGCCCAGGCTGGAGAGCAATGGCACGATCTTGGCTCACTGCAACCTCCACCTCCCAGGTTCAAGGAATTCTCTGGCCTCAGCCTCATGAGTAACTGGGCCTACAGGAGCACACCACCACGCCTGGCTAAACTTTTTTGTTTTTTCAGTAGAGAAAGGGTTTCACCATGTTGGCCAAGCTGGTCTTGAACTCCTGACCTCAAGCGATCTACCTGCCTTGGACTTCCAAAGTGCTGGGATTACAGGGCCACTGCACCCGGCCCCTTCCTGCATGTGTAAGTGGGTCAAAAGATGTCAAGTTTTTGTCCTGTCTAAAGACAAGTATAGGCCCAGAAATAGGACATTAATACAGAGAAGAGAAACACAATGTGGACAAGATGCAGATGAGGACATCCAGCCTCTGGAAAAGGATAGGGCTGAATGCTTTACTCACTGGACGCTGACTGCATGGTGGAGGAGACAGACTGTCAGTTATCAGCAACAGAGACCCAGCTGAAGCATCTATTTGTAGAGAAAACAGGGCAGCCATTATTTTCCTCACAACTCATCAGGGGTAGCACAAAAGGACATGGCCTTTTTTTTTTTTAAAGACAGTTGCCCGGGCTGGAGTGCAGTGGCATGATCTTGGCTCACGACAACCTCCGCCTCCTGGGTTCAAGTGATTCTCCTGCCTCAGCCTCCTGAGTAACTGGGACTACAGGTGCCCACGACCACGCTTGGCTAATTTTAGTAGAGATGGGGTTTCACCGTGTTGGCCAGGCTGGTCTTGAACTCCTGACCTCAGGTGATCCACCCACTTTGACCTCTTAAAGTGCTGGGATTACAGATGTCAGTCACCACGCCTGGCATTTTTTTTTTTTTTCCAAGACAGAGACAAATAAAGAACTACAGAAAAGTTAAGGTCAATTTCTCTGGTGTTGCCCCACAATACCAGCCAAGCAGTATTTCATTCTCGGCTGGTACTGTGGGGCAAAATGGCAGTATTCATTTCATTCTTGGCTGGCAAAAGGTAGCACCTTTTCCTGAAGCCCAGAAATCATGATTTAAACTTCCTTAAAATCCTGACAAGGCCTCACCTGTGCTTCCTTTATTCCTGACTTATGGTATTAACTTGACTGCAGACCTTCCTGGCCATGCAGGGATAAACAGACCTTTACCTGATCCCTTTAGCTCAGGGTGTTTATTTTCAAATGTGGCTTCCATCTGGGTTAGGCTTTCATCTCTAACCCTTAGACTGCAGCTTTCAAAGACTCTCAGGGGTTCACTGCTGCCCAGCCTAGGGATGGGGCTTCATATGCAGCCTCCACCCCACCCAGTCTGTCCTGCCTGGCCTTAGAAAGATGTGAACACTGGCCAGTCATGGTGCTTGATGCCTGTAATCCTAGCACTTTGGGAGGATGAGGTGGGTGGATCACCTGAGGTCGAGAGTTTAAGACCAGCCTGACCAACATGGTGAAACCCCATCTCTACTAAAGACAAAAAATATTATCCCAGGCATGGTGGTGGATGCCTATAGTTCCAGCTACTTGGGAGGCTGAGGCAGAACTGCTTGAGCCCAGGAGTTTGAGACCACCCTGGGCAATACAGTGAGACCCCAACTGTATCAAAAATTAAAAAAAAAAAAATTAGCCAGGTGTGGTGGTGCAAACCTGTAGTCCCAGCTACTTGAGAGGCTGAGGCAGGAAAATCACTTGAGCCCAGGAGTTTGAGACTGCAGGGAGCTATGATCACCTCACTGCACTCCAGCCTGAGCGACAGACTGAGACCCTCTCTATCTTGATTTAAGAAGAAATGCAGAGAAGTTTCTGCAGAAGGGTGAAGAAGTTAGGAAGAGAAGTTGGAATTTGACAATTATGAGATTACTAAGGATTTGTGGAAGAACTTTTTTTTTTTTTTTTTTTTTTGAGATGGAGTCTCACTTTGTTGCCCAGGCTGGAGTGCAGTTGCATGATCCCAGCTCACTGCAACCTCTGCCTCTCAGGTTCAAGGGATTCTGTTGTCCCAGCCTCCAAAGTACCTGGGATTACAGGCATGTGCCGCCACACCTGCTAGATTTTGTATTTTTAGTAGCATTGGGGTTTCACCATGTTGGCCAGGCTGGTCTCAAATTCCTGACCTCATATGATCCACCTGCCTCGGCCTCCCAAATGCTGGGATTACAGGGATAAGCCACTGCGCCTGGCTTCTGAGGGAAGGTGTGGAAGCTAGGTTTGCTTGAGAGGGAATCTTCGTGCTGGCCCTCCTTCCTGTAGGCAACATTAGATATTTACCTTCTAATTGTCATAAAGTGAAAATGCACATTGTGAGTGACTTAGAGCAACAGTTTGTCTGTGGAACCAAACTGATTTACATCTTGCTTCTGAGCCCTCTTCTTTAGAGTATGAAAATAAAACTTTTCTTAAAAGGAAAAAATAATGTGTTTTATAACAGCTCAGGGAATTGAACTGTTTATTAAAAAGGAGGATAAGATGAAATAGAGAATAAATTTAACAAAATTACTGTTAACAAAACAAAACTCTCAAACACAAGAAAAAAAAGGGTTCCACTTTGCTGGTAATCAAAAGAATGCAAAGTAAGGTAGTGACATGCTTTTTTCTTCTACTGATTTGGCAAAGATTTTAAAATATACATGGTAATAGCCATGATGGTGAGGCATCCAGGTGACTGTGCAGTCTAATACAACGGTGGGAGTACATATTGTCCCAACTTTTCTGGATGATGCTTTGATAGTATATTTGAAAAGTCTTAAAAATATGCATAAATGTTGGCTGAGCATGGGGGCTTATAACTAAAATCTTTGCAGTTTGGGAGGCTGACGTGGGAGGATCACTTGAAGCTAGGACCTTAATTGACCAAGACCAGCCTGGGAAACATAGTGAGACCCCATTTCTAAAAAACAGAATTAAAAAAATTAGTTGGGTGTGGCAATGCATGCCTGTAGTTCCAGCTCATGGCATTTCAGCTTGGATGACGACAGAAAGATACCTTAATTCAAAATAATACTACCAAACATATATATGCACCAATATTGATCCAGAATTCCATTTCTATATATTTTCCTAAAGAAATAATTAGTGCAATATGCAAAAACTTTATTACAAGACTATGCATTGCAGCATTATTTATGCTACCCAAAATGAAAACCCATGAATATTTGCTAATATAGAACTAATTAAATAAGTTATAATATTATATGGTTAGACTATATAAAGTCATTAAAATGATTTAGGGAACATTTATAGATGCTGAAGATATTCACAATAATTATAAATTAAAAAGTATCAACCCAAATGCCCATCAATGATAGACTGGACAAAGAAAATGTGGTACATACACCATGGAATACTACATAGCCATAAAAAACAATGAGTTCGTGTCCTTTGTAGGGACTTGGATGAATCTGGAAACCATCATTCTCAGCAAACTGACCCAAGAACAGAACGCCAAACACTGTATGTTCTCACTCATAGGTGGGTGTTGAACAACGAGAACACGTGGACTCAGGGAGAGGAGCATCACACACGCGGGGCAGTTGGGGGGGTAGGGGAGGGACAGCAGGGAGTACGGAGGGAGGGGAGGGATAACATGGGGAGAAATGCCAGATACAATATGCACCTAAAGTAAAATAAATAAAATTTTTTAAAAAGTATCAAAACAATTTTTATAGAGGGAATCAATAAAAATGGTTTCTTTTTTTTAGTTTTTATTTTTATATTTTTTTAGAGACAGATTCTTGCTCTATCAGCCGGGCTGCAGTGCAGTGGCATGATCATGGCTCACTGCAGCCTTGATCTCCTGGGCTCAAATGATCCTCCAACCTCAGCCTCCTGAGTAGCGGGGACCACAAGGCAGGTGTCACCATGGCCTGCTAATTTTTTTTAGTTTTTGTAGACATGGGGTCTTGTTATATTGTCCAGGCTGGTCTTGAACTCCTGGACTCAAGCAATTCACCCACTTAGCCTCCCAAAGTGCTGGGGTTACAGGTCTGACCCACTGTGCCTGGCCTAAAAACGTTTTAAGCACCTAAAAGAAAACTACACCAAATAATTGACATAGTTAATTTGGTATAGGGGGATAAAGGAGGGTTTTAAATTTGGTTTAGTTTGTTGCTTTGATTTTCCTTTTTACTAAAACGAGGAAGCTCACATTATTATATACTTGAGATGAATAAATACTGTAAGGATTGAGTGTATTCAAGACTGGGTTTGAGGGAGAAATGTTTCACTCACTCAAGTTTGATCAAAAGATAAGCAGAGACAAATCTTCTTCACTCCCTCCACTGAGAAAGAAATTCATTTACATAAAGAAACTGAGGCCCAGCCAAGGAAGGCACTTGCTAACACGTGGATTTTTAAAAAGTTACTTTTCCAGAAAACATGGCAATTCCATGACAAGATCTGAAGACAGACAATTAAATGGTTTCATGCTATTGTGGAATAGAAGTGAAAATCAAGTGCCCAGCAGAACACGGCGGCTCACGCCTGTAATCCCAACACTTTATGAGGCTGAGGTGGGTGTATCACTTGAGGTCAGGTGTTCGAGATCAGCCTGGCCAACATGGTGAAACTCCATCTCTACTAAAAATACAAAAATTAGCCGGGTGTGGTGGTGAGTGCCTGTAATCCCAGCTACTCAGGAGGCTGAGATGGGAGAATTGCTTGAACCCAGGAGGCAGTGATGGCAGTGAGCTGAGATTGTGCCACTGCACTCCAGCCTGGGCGACAGAGCCAGGCTCTGTCTCAAAACAAAACAAAGCGAAACAAAAATTAAGTGTCTGCCTCATGAAACATCAATTTTTCCCACCCTCACATCCTCAACCACTCTCGGTTCCTGTCTTACATTTAGGAGTACCATTTTGAAATAAGATGGCTCCATTTCTCAGCTCATTGCTTCATTTTGGCCCAAGCTCATTTCTCAAAGCTTTTGAAGAACTTTCCCTCCTATACAAAGTCAGTATCATAGGCCACAAATGCTAAGGGCTTCCTTCTGTAACTGAAGTTTTTATTACCATTTGGGGATCACGAACGAGCCAAATTCCTTCACTCCAGTCAGCTGTTCTATAGCAGAGCACATGGGGTCACAAGTCCATAAAACACTGGGCAAAGAAGACCATTTAAGCTGTGCATGGTGGCTTGCACCTGAAATTCCAGCACTTTGAGAGGCGGAGGCATGAGATTAGGAGATAGAGACCAGCCTGGTGAAACCCCTTCTCTACTAAAATACAAAAAAATTAGGCCGGGGCGTCGTGGCTCAGACCTGTAATCCCAGCACTTTGGGAGGCCAAGACGGGTGGATCACTTGAGGTCAGGAGTTTGAAACCAGCCGGCCCAACATGGCGAAACCCCTTCTCTACTTAAAATACAGAATTAGCCAGGCATGGTGGTGCATTCCTGTAGTCCCAGCTACTCGGGAGGCTGAGGCAGGAGAATTGCTCGAACCTGGGAGGCGGAGGTTGTAGTGAGCCAAGATTGTGCCATTGCACTCCAGCCTGGGCAACAAGA